TTTCCTATCCTCGCTTTGTAATCTAGCAAATGGTTAGACTGTCATAACTTCTTATCTTGAGCGTTATGGTGGCTGCAGTCTCCAGAAATGTTATGATTAAAATGGAAGACGAGTTAAGAACCCCTCCTGCTGTGAATCATAAAACCCACATTTCATCCACTCAGAAATCAAATCACATACCAGTGGTGTCATGTAATAATATGAACAAATTATCCTCTCAGAGTAATACAGACAATAATTCGATTGTTTCTATCTCGAAAGCCTGTTTGGGTGATAAATTAGTTTCGAAGGTTGGATTCGCAAACCTACCCAACCAAATACACCGGAAAGCTGTTCGGAGAGGTTTTGTTTTTAATCTTATGATTACCGGAAACTCTGGGTTGGGAAAGTCTACCTTTATTAACTCCTTGTTTCGTACGGATTTGTACAATGCTGAGTATCCTGTGAGTATCCAATATCTTTTTCACTAGCTAGAATAAATCAATTGATTTCTTTGCTCTCATCCAATTGTCTTTGCACCTGATCGTTAATTTTCAGCAATAATAACTTATTGCATCGTATCACTACCCAAAAATATCCTTAATTTCTTGGTGATGTGGGTTTTATTTCAAAATGATGGCTTTTTATTGGAGTTTGTTCAGATTACAATGGGGCTAATTCTGTGGAGGTAGTAAACAAATAGGATAGAGAAAACTGACTGATAATTCACTTACCTGACAAATGTATATCATGCTCTGGTACTAAGAGAATGCGTGTTACAATAAACGGTGGATATTAGTGTAACAAATCTTATGTAATAATATCCTTTTGATTCACGATTTTTAGATAATCCAGCACTTCTAGTCTACATGTTTACAGAAAAAAGTGAAGCCTGAAAATAAAAGCGAAGATTCCTAAGAAGTCTCATTGATAGAAACTGGCTTCTTATATTGCGATAGAGTTATTAACCGACAAAAACATGCCATACACCCTAATGTCAATCTTGAATGGTTAGATATGTTTAATAAATCATCAACCGAATAGTCTGTTTATAGATTGTTTGATTGTAATGCTGCACATGTAGGCTTGCGTTTACTAAACAGTGCTGAACGGAAACACCTCCGTTATTTTCAAAGGCTCCATCTAAACGAAATGAATCTAGCTTGACTGGTCGTTCTTACCATCCGATTCGAGAAACATAAGCTATGTAACCTACTCAGAAGCAATAAATATTTCAAGAAATTTGAGAAAATAACAACTTTTGACTTGCGTCAACTGAAAGTTCCGTAAATTAAATACTTTTGTTGGGCTACGTTTATGTACTTATGCTGTTCACTTCGCCATAGAATATGTAATTTTTGATCTTTGTTAAATTGTATATAATAAAATACAAAGGTCCTAAACTGTTATATATATGACATCTCAACAATCAGGTGTGATTTCTGGAAATAAAATGTATGTGAATTCTAGCAAGTCAACCATAGGTGTCCTCAAAGTATTGATATCCTGTAGTTAAACTGTTGATTTGTAGGAACTAATCTTATGGGCAGAGCACCAAAAAACAGTTGATTAGGTTGTTGATCCCTATATATAAAGCCGCCCGGACATTTGTCGTGTTTATTTAGATGCCGGTTGTGATTAGCTTAGAAATAAAACAGTTAAGAGTTTAGAATTTTCACAATAATTTATGACCACTGCGCGTTATGTAAACTTAATTTTACAACCATACGAAAGACTTGAATCTATGTTTGGAGTTTCGTCCACATCAATATGAATATTTTTTCGTAGTACTTTCGAATCACTAGAAATCTGGTTAATTGTATGTGGCTTGAATAAGTTTTGAAAACAAAAGTTGTATAACCCTCCAGTTTGTAAACAGAACTTTTGCATTCATCTTGGTATATCCGTATGTATATTATCAATTGACAGTTGTTGTTATTATTCGTAAACAGAATAAAAAGAACATTTTAAGTTTGTTATTAACTTTATAGTAAGTAAACTTTTTTTTCTACGTTTTCTCTGAATGATGTTTCGTATTTCTTACTGCATAACGTAATGTATTTCGGTTAGACACCTTACTTTCAATAGTAAATGCAGTGTATTTTAATTTATTATTTAGCGTAACATGATAATAATTATTAAAATATATAATCCATTTTAAGGGTCCATCAAAGCGATCGTATTGTTCTGGAACTTGTGTAGATTCAAAAACATTTGCATTAAATGAAGCCAATGTTTCTCTTCTACTAACAATAATTGATACTCCAGGATTCGGCAGTGAATTAGATAATTCTGCAAGCTGGAAACCTCTGGTAAAACATATCGATTCTCGTTTCGAATCCTATCTTCGAGCTGAACTAAATGTCTCTCGTGAAACAGTTGGTTCTGGAGCAACGTATCAACCAAGCTTACCGAATGACAAACGAGTCCACTTGTGTTTGTATTTTATTTCTCCTAATGGGCATGGTTTGCATCAACTAGATTTAGAAACACTTAAACAGCTGCATAACAGAGTAAGTTCATTCTTATCGGGATTTCAGGTTTCGAGTCACTAGAGAAGTGTGTTCATGCTTCAGCCAAGACATTTTATTGCTTTTTCTGTTTTGTTTGTTAACGCTTAATTTATCCAGCAACATTTACATTTACAACTATAAACATCAAACGGATTCATCACGTAACTCATTTACATCAGTATAGTGTTTTGGTCTGTTTCTAAAATTATGATACAAATTGTAACAAACTTTACTTAACTGGTAATAAAACAGTAGCATTAATAAAAGTATATCTGAACTCGTTTGCTAATTTTACCAGCCTTTTTTTTTATTTCATAAACGTTATAAAGTTTTTTATTAATTTTTAATGGCACTGAAATTTTATATGTCTAAATACTCATCGAAGGATGTTTGTGTAGTTTTTTTTTTTCCAAAGTAAATTTATTTTTCAAATTTTATCTCGGTCAGTGTCAATAATCTTTGTAAAAATAAGACTTAGTTAATCTTATGACATAATTAGTTTAAAGGTCACTGCTGTTCCTGGTAGGTTTATGTGAAATATATTTGCTGAAATATACGGTTGTATCCTAACCAAAACATCTGGTAGATGTGAAATTAAACTGTTTAGTATAGCTGAAAAACACTCATTACAAGTAATTTCCGTGTGGCCATAATAATCAAATGAATCTTTTATTGATTTGTATCCAAGTGTACTTGTATTTTACACTGTATCTAACTAACATCCGTAAACCCGATAATTTACCTGCATATCGGACATTTCCCAGAGAACTAAATTCCTGAAGATACTGTTTTTTCGTATTATGTTCGATACCCACTTCAGTAATTTCTATCTAGATAATAATGATGACAAATTATTATTATTATTATTATTATTATCATTATCATTACTATTGACATAATCAAGTGTAATAAAAACATCTGATCTACTAAGGTGTAACTGTTTCCACTGTCATAACTATTTCGTACTTCGTCTTTTGATCTCATTCACCCCTTTCAAACTATATCTATCATGTTTAGCCTCTTACTTTAGTGCAAATAATCATCTCCTATTTTCTGTTTTTTTTTATTATGTCAGCCCTTTTTTAATGTCCTGTAGTAAGATGTTTTAACACCATCCAATGATATTCGTCCCAGATCATCCATTGTTTTAAGCTTGCTAGGCAGCTAATTTCTGTGGTCTGAATAGTTGGAAATGGAGTTATCGAAAACATGTGTTACATTACTTACATTTGTTTTAAGCAATACAACAAGCTCTTTGATTAACAGCCATTACCTAGGAGATATATTAAACTGACCAAGTTGAATAATCGTAGCAAGAATGTAGATAATATTAATTACTCTGTTACCACTTTCACTAACATCAATTAACTTTATTGTTTTTAACAAATTTCAATCTTAGATCCTCTCAATTAAACCTAATTACATCTAATCCGATCTATTTTCCGATGAACTTTACAAGCATGAACAATATTTGCTTTTCTTCTACTGGCATTTTCTAATGTGTGATATAAATTAAGTGGTTTGTATGTTCCTGTTTGCTGTTTTTTTTTGTTTGAATAGTGTTAATCACTAAAATATGCTGATTACAGACAATTTTTCTGGTAGTCTCCATCTACCAATACGATATCCTGTTTTGGACTGCGCACCCTTAGTTTCTCTTCAGCCTATTCCTACACCAGGAAACATTGTGCGTCGAGATCGGCTATAGTTGGTCGTACATAATACACGTCTTAACCACCTCAGTCCAAGAATATTCACTACTATCAACTAACTTGTTATCCTTAGTACCCTATGTAACTTCAGCATTGGTTGTGGATTGATTCCCAGAGGCATCACTCTTCTTTCAATACCAGGAAAAGTCTCCAACAATGTTGTTAAACCGAATGAAGTATTCGGTAGATGCCAAACTCCGAGATCAATAGTCTGGAATCCGTAAGGATCGATTGTGTAACGACCGAATCGGGACACTACGGATCATTATTAAACAATCAATTTAATGGAATTCATCACTATGCACTAACTTCATTGACTACGAAAAAGCATTCGATAGTGTGGACAGGATGACACTATGCAGGCTTCTTTGACATAAGATGTGCCTGAGACAATATTCAACATCATACGAAATTCTTGTGATAGACTAAACTGCAGCACCATGCATGAAGGATAGCTTACAGGCTCGCTCCAAGTGAAGACCATACAAGGTTGCTTACTCTCACCCTTCCTCTTTCTCCTGGTGGTCTAATGGATTATGAAGACGTCAGCACGGAATATAATAGACAGGTAGGATACAGCTGGACAGTTTGAACTTCGCAGATGATCTAGCCCCACTATCCCGCACACCAACAAATACAAATGAAGATGGCCAGTGTAGCAACATCTGGAACTCAAAACAACTATCAACCAACACCAAAATCATAATTTTCAATGCAAATGTCAGGACAGTTCTATTGTATGAGGCGGAAACTTAGAGAATTGCAAACGACCATCCAAAAGATACAGGTGTTTATTAACAGTTGTCTGCGCAAGATACTGTGGATCCGTTGACCAGACACCATTAACAACAACCTACTGTGGAGAGAACAAACCAAATTGCATCTGAGGAAGAAATTAGGAAAAAGCCCTGGAGGTGTGTAGGACACACATTACGGAAAGCACGCAACTGCGTCACGAGGTAAGCCTTAACTTGGAACACACTAGGATAAAGGAAAAGAATAAGATCAAGAGGCATATTGCTCTGAGAATCGAAAGGAGGCATAATAAGAATGAACAGCAATTGGGAAGAACTGGAAAGAAAGTCCCAGGACAAAGTAGGTTGTAGAATGCTGGTCAGCGGCCTATGTTGCAGGAGGCATAAGTAGGTAAGTAACCTGTGCTCAAAAGAAATTATTCAGATCTGATACTGAAAGTGTGAAATATGGAGCCTAACAGTGTTTGTAGCTGTAAAAAGTTTGTAAAATATATTTTCAACTACTATTGAACTGCATGTTCTATTCATGAATAATATTCTATAAACAATTCAGTATTATTCCAAACAGTTCTTGTTGTTTTACATCTTAATTACAAGTTAGAATATTGGATCATTTACAAATTTTCAATCAGTCATTATTTTAAACGGTTAAACAAAATATAACATATGGACAGTAGGAACTGATTGGAATTATGTGTAACGATTTAGTTGTTCACAATGATATATCCAATAACCACACAAATGACCTTAATACTTTAATTTTCGTCACAAACAACGTGTGTTTTTACAAAAGAGATTGATTGTGGCTAGTAGTAGAATTCAACACATGAGTTTCCGTTCTATTTGGGACTCATTAACTGGATTTACCTACATGTTGGTATAGGTGTTCTCTCCAAGACTTGGACCATCTATCTTTCTCTTTTAATGCCGGACTCATTATTCCCCGAGCTAGTGGTAACACTAATAACCAGAGTCAATCGTTTTTATCAAAAACTTGCGGGAAATGGATATATCGAGGCGATCCACATGGTATGCATATAAACTGACCAAGATTAATCATAAATCCAGTCATTAATATTAACAACGGAATAATCCAAACCCGTTCTAACAATAATATAAACAACCTAATTATTTTTTTTTTCACTGTATCAATGGCCCTCGTTTTTATTTACTTCAATTTATTCAATAGTTGTATACACAACGAAAAGTAGGCGGGAAAGTTTTGTCGGTTTTCACTGCATTACTAGCTTCACCTTATATGTAGTTATCGTACATTAATCAGTTGGCTCAGGCTAAAAGGTAGGCTTATTTTTATCTTCGGTAGTAGTACTTCTAAAGGTCAACATGTAGCATACATTTTAATATAAAGTTAATCAGATGAAAAAATATCGACAGAATGACTATATACATAATGATATCGATATAAACATGTAGCATTGATCAATGTATGTTTATGGAATAAATTAAAATTTGTTGGTGATTTTATGCAAATATACTGAATTATTTATTATTCAGTATATACATGTAATCTGTATGTAGTAGATAAAAGGTCGATGTTACAGATACGTGTATAAATGGATTCGGTGTAAAAGTTATGCTTACAAGAACAATTTTTCTGTTTTGTCAATAGTTATCAGATCTTATATTTTATGCATTGCATCATATTGCTAGCATATCTGGCCATATTATTTTTCCTAAGCAGCACAAATTATACCATCTTGTGGCTTGAACAACCAGTTGGTGTATACTATCTTGACTAATACAGAAATAAGACAAAAAGAATATGAGTAGTCAAGACAAGACTTAACATTAGCCCATTAGGTCATTGACTGTTGTTCATTTGTACGATCTCAGAATGTGTAAACTACTTGGATATGGAGTGTATGTGATATGCATAATTAAGGATTAAAATCTCAATGTAATATGTCTCAAAATCGGTTACAGTGGTGCAAATTCATTCATTCATTCATTGTCATTTTACATTCGACTAAATCTTGGATTTTTTGTATTGTTTCACACTTCTTGGTTTCGTTTGTTCTGTTTTTGGTGTGCACTCATGGTATTTTTTTTTATCTAGTATCATTGATACTGTTATTGTTCCGAATCTTGACTTCTATATCACTATTTTCCTCTCACAATAGTCATGTGAAATGTGGCTACTTGGACTAGTGGACATTGACACTGGATACTGTACTGTTTACAAATGACTAACCTAGATAACTAATTTATAAATGTTGGTTGTATCACGTGATCGAGTTCGTGTAATTTGGTCTAATTTAACGTTTTGTCAATAATATTTTACGAAACTACCACTGAATCACCACTACAATTTCTCTCCCTAATCCTTCACCACTAAAAATGTGATATTTAGACAGAATAATATGGTGTATTAACCCAGAAAAATATCTTGCTCAACAAACTGTTAGACAGTGATCTAGGCGTGCAACTTTCAGCCATCAATTTCCGGGCTCGAATCCTGTCCAGCCTACTTCATTGTGATCAACCGGTTAGTATTATTAACCCTGATGCAGTAAAGCTCATATTACAAGTGTCTGATGAATGAATTGATTTCATTAATTCAACTAGATGTAGCCACTTTGGCTTCGATTTTCAATCCGTACTTCATAAATTACGTAGTGATTATATTGTTTCTTTTTTTTCACAAAAATTAAGTGTTATATTATAAAATAATCAAATTAAATCATTTTAGTATCTTGATGCTAAATGATTGATAGTAGTCAAGAGGAAACCGTAGGCCTAGGTTTCGTCCTAGCTGGCACTCATCATCAATGTCTTTTCAATTTTAATATTTATTTTATTTGAAACTCTTAATTTGAATCATTATAGAAGTTCTACTTTAACTATTTTCAAAAAATTACCTCTAAGAGTTTGCAATTTGACTTCAGGAATATTTTCATCAAAATACCGTTTACAAAAATGAACTGTAATAATTGTATTTTAATCAATAATATTCAACACTTTGTCATACGTACGTACATACACACACATTTATATACTTTGTTTTTAATCAAAACAGTTGAATTCAATAAGAAGCTTGTATTTTGAATATGTAAGTTTAACAAGTGATGAAGAAGATTTATAGCTCAGATCAATGTTTTTGATAGCGTTAAGTTCTCTTGGCTAGATGATTTAATTGGAAACCTTTCATTGTTATTTCGGACAGAAACTCGAAACGATGTAAAAACATTCAGTTCAGTAACCAGGTATAAATATATGTATTCGGTCTAGTAATTGTACTTTCAATGTAAATGTCTTATGATGTTTACTTACACTTGGGCATCCAGACGAAATGAGAAGATAAAAAGCATTTCAAGTTTACAAGTCAGCCAGCTGTTGAAAGTCAAATGCTTTATACATCAAATCACCACTAATCCACTACAATAAACACAATATAGACGAGTTCATAGATCAATGAAAGTCAACATATTCATTTCAATAAACTTAACAGGAAAGAATTCTAATTTCTTACAACTACCTTCTTATTCATTTGTGATGTTTAGTCGAATTTTCCCTTTGTTAATTTTAAAGATTACAATTGGCGTAAATCCTGTTGACAGCCAAAATGAGATGAAATGCCTGTCTTGTATTCCACTGTTATACTTTATCCTATTCTGCTCACAATATTGCATTTTTTAATCATATCAGTGCCTATGGTATATACTAATCAAGGAAATAATTCATTTACATTATTCTCCTACAATTTACTTTAAAGTTTTATACAACTTATTTTAATTCTCTTCTGTTTATCTGTATGTCAGTCAAAAAACAAAAGTATCAAAATAATTATTCATTTCAGTTTGTGTAACATGATGTTTTTTTAGTGAATCTTTCCATAGGCTCAAAATTAAATCTTATGCAAACTTTGTTATACTGTAAATAATTCATCTTTCGCTTAAAAAAACGGTAATGTGTGGCAGAAAACATGTCTAATTTCGATTTGAATTGTGTGCAGTCTCCCAAATTATTAATTCAACATGTATATTTTGAGATGATGGCGAAAATATGTGGCTCAGATGGATAATCACAGTCAACAAAGTATACCAAACGCGGATTTATTTTATATATACATACCCTTTTAACTAACCCTAACATTTTAGTTGGCACTTTTTATTCATCTAATAATAAACATCATTTGCTTTTGTATTTCTAGGTCAATGTAGTCGTTATTATTGGTAAAGCAGACAGTCTTACACCAGATGAATGTATGCAATTTAAACAAACAATACTTCAAGAGCTACAAAATCATAATATTAAATTATACGATTTCCCTGAATTGGTTGCTAAATTAGGTGGTGCTGATGAATCATGTTCAATCAATGAAATTCGTCAGGCTCGAGGACGTCAACCATTTGCTGTGGTCACTAGTAATAGTCTTGTTACACTACCAGACGGTAGGAAGGTAATATACATCTTTTATTTGAAGCGGTTTTGTGCACTTAGGTTTAATTTGTATGTAGTATTTGTAACAAACTGATCTCTGTTAGGACACCATCGAAAAAGAGTAAGCATTAAACTGCTCTCCTTTTCTAGTGTTGAAACTCGACAGAAGTCCTTACCACTGACCTTGATAGGTATTGAACTCAGGGTATTCAGGTTGGTTAGGGAATGTCTGACTGTTAAAACCACTGGGTCATGGCTAAATGGTTCATTTCTAACTCCAGTTAGTTTGCGATGCTGTGTTAGAAGCATTGAACACTATCTTCAACAAATGTTTCACTCGCAACTTGTCTAAACTAAGGGACACAGTTATCACCAACGACAGTTAGAGCTGGAATAGTACGATTAGACGCCGACTCAACAGTTTTAATAGTCAAGTGTTCGTCATGAGATATCAATATCCTAGGTTGAATGATGTGGTAGGTTCGTGAGTTGTCATTATTGAACAGAACAGCTGTCTTATGCCCCTTGGTTTTCAGCGATACTTCAAATATGATCAGACTTTGACGAATGTGTACATATAAATATAATATATATTTCTTAAACATTTTCTAAGTTTTATTTCTAAATAAGAAGTAGATATTTGTTTCAAATCCACTTGAATAACGTACCTGAGACCTGCTTAAGTCAGAAGATCTTGGCTACCTGGAAAAAATATATATATATATATATATATATATATATATATATATATATATATATATATATATATATATATATATAGCGACCAAGTGACTAGGGTTAAGGTTAAAACACATTTCAATTGAACAGCTGTTTTACGTTTAACTATTTTTGCGACAGACGACTATCATTGTCTTATCAAAATATGTTTTTAATTCTAACCCTAGCTAATTGGTCGATGTCTCATTTGCTCAATATAGTACAATATATATGGATATATACTGATTACTAGTAAGTAATGTAGTAACAAAACAAGAATTCTACAGTCCTCTTTTAAGATAAAGAATCCCCACGCGCTCCAGTAAGTTCTCTATCTGAGAATTCTTCGGTTTCTCCTTCTGGCTTGTGTATAGATGAAGTAGTGAAACTCCACCAGTTGAGGTGGTTGGGACATGTGTTACGAATGCGCAACCACGGACTGCCTCGACGACATATGTTTTGTGGTGTAGGAGTATGTTGGAAGAAAGGTAGGTGCGGTGAGACCAAAACATGACAGAAATCCATGAAGTCACTAACAAGTGGACTGAGTCATGTGGTTAAATGTAGGCTACGTGGTTGGGGTCCGCGAGACGAAAGTCACCAATGGTTAGAGACCTTGAACGACATGGCTCAAAATCGTTAGCAGTGGCGCAAGTGCATCCACTCTTTGTCTCCTCTCAAATTCTAACCTTCTGAATTCCTCATAATCTCTACCTTTCTCCTTCTAAATTTATCTTACTGAATTATACTTCTCGAATCATATCTTCGCTCCCTAATCTTCTCCATTACTGCTAATACTTCTACTATCGCTACCACTATTGGATTTGAAGTGACAGTTGCGTCTCTGTGCTAATGTGATATGGCAACCTGAACTGATGTACGTACGTACGAAGTTCTACTTGAAAAACACCTAAACGTCCTCCAGTCCTGCAATATTTAAGTTAAACTAATGAAAAGCTTGAATTAGTTTGATTGGCATGACGAGTAATAACACCAAATCGTATCCGATCCTCTGACCGTCTTAAATCACTCTTGCTTAATTGTTCTTGCATTTTTTGATAACGTCAACCACTTCATTTTTTTGGAGCTAGTAAAGTTTTGGAAGCGTTTAGTGTCTTATTTCCTAGATTTCTAACAAAACGCTTTTCACTAGCTTGTCTGTCAGATGGTTTTTTAAATAGATCTGCTTGTGCTGCTAAAGCTACCTTATTTGCCATTCATCGAATATCTTTCAAGGGCCTAAACCTAAAGGTAGTTTCTATATGATTATTACATTAGAGTTATATTTTGTATGTTGTAGAACAAATCTGTTGTTAAGTACAAACGATAGAAGTCTTTGTTCACCTAGCACTAATGGAATTTTAGTGACTACTGTTGGAACAAAGACCGCAATGCATGAAACTGGCTACTGTTGATACACTAATTCGATTACTAGTATTTCTAGCAGTAAATAATGTGCGTAATTATATATAAGCTGACATAGTAACACACCTTTTATGTGACGCATTTACCATAGTAAATGCTTGAAAATACTAATGGATATGATATCAATTCAAATCCCAGTAGTAGATGTAGTAGAGGTATTAGCGCTAATTGAAAAGATTGGGGTTCAAAGGAATCATTCAAGAAGTACAATCAATTAAAATAAATTAAAAAAAAGTGAAAGATAAAAATAATAAATAAGTCAGAAGATTAGGATTTCAGAGAGCACAAAGAATGGATGCACCTGCGCCATTCATTGCAAACGATTTTGAGCCATGTCACTCGAAGTCTCTGACCATCGGTTACTTATTGTCTCCCAGACCTCAAGCTGGTAGTTCACACCTACTAACATGGCTCAGTTGGCTTGTCAGTGACTTCATGGATTTGTAGTGATCGATTTAATTATAATTTTGTTATTAACTTAGATACAAATACATTTGATTGTTTGGAGCTTTGAAGTGCATTATTTCACAATATCTTAAAGCCATTCACGCAATCCAAAATCAGTCGCACCAGAGATTCAAGTTCAGTGAATAACACCGGATGCAGATCTCTAACATGCTTATGAAAGATATTAATCGTATTGTTGATCTTCTTCATCAGAGTGTTAGCTTTAATAGGATCATGAATTCACTCACCTCTTTAGTTTCTCAAAATGATCAGTATCTGAAATAGCATCGGTTAGCATTGTCACAGGTGATAATCTGTTCCCCACTGATGTGCCCCTCCCACTGGTTAACCTATCATCTAGCATTTCTTGTGATCTCTCGAGACCGAGAAATGACACTAGTAACATGTAAAATGCATGGTGTCACCTGTTGTATCCTTCAATAGTACATATTCTTTGAAGTCTAAAACTTTTAACCATATAGTTGATCTTTTAGACAGAGACGACATAACTTCTTGCTGCTAATTGTATTCATTCTTCCTTTTATTCTAACTAAATACAGTGATTTGCACTATAGTTTCCATTACAGATAATGTAGACTAAACTTTTATTCCATTACAGACTAACAGGAGTATGCTTTTAGACGGAAACATTCTTATTTGTACTGACTGATGTTAATGGTTTAGGTAAGGTGTTTTTAGATCGTTTATACGTTTTCGAACTTAGCGCTAATCCATTAAATCTTTTACATATTATATCCATACATTCTACTGCGAACTTAGATAGATCTCCAAAGTGGGGCTTTCTACATTATCACATGCACTTTATATCTACCTCTGTCTAAGGAAATCTGAGATTTGTAGGTAGACGTACAACAATAGTTTCTAGAATTGTGCTAACGTTCCAATCCGATTCGTAGCCTAGTAAGTAGTAGCCATTCAACTTAACTTCACATGTTTTTATCTTCTATCTTAGAACGAGCAGAGCAGTCAATTAATCATTCTTAATCGGTGGCCAATTTGTCATTTCTGCATATATAATGGTTCATATGTATTCATCTGTCTAATTTATTTTTAATCATTTGCCGTAATTAAATGTTTTTACTATGAAATGTCATTAAATATCTTTCATATAAGTTTACACTTTTATATGTAATTTATTCATTGTAATTATCAAGGTGTATGGGCGATCTTATCCATGGGGTATTGTTGAATGTGAAAATCTTGCACATAATGATTTTAATGCATTAAGACATTTATTAATGAATGTTCATTTGCAGGTTAGTTAATCTGACTTCTTTCTTATCGATTATTATTTAGACCAATACTGAGATTTTTATTAGATTTGGTCATGTATAGACATACATTTTTAAATGGTATTTTGAAGATTGTTGAGTTTGCATTTCCACACTACGGATCGATTTCGGTTAGACAACTCCTGAAACCAAAAAGCACAAGATATGTGTTTCGTCCTGACTGGGAGCTCTTTATTAGTGCTCATCAAAGACGCCATCAGATATCGAACCAAGGACCTTTTTAGTGCATGAGATCTGATTTCTTAATGAACTCCATGAATGAACCATAACATATAAACCTTCCGTTTAGTTCCGAATACGATCCTTAGGCTAACCCCGGTGGATAACAATATCAATAAAAGTCAAATACAATTGGAATTGGAAGAGTTTACTTCAGACATTCACTTATGCAGATAAATGGTGAAAATTGAAACAGAGAGAAGAGTTTCTTTGACTGCTCAAAATATTACTCGGTGCAAGAGTTGATATTACTCTAAATATACATATTCCATTATGTGACAATGATACAGGTATTGGATGAAATAATAAGTGCATAGGCAACACATTAGCATACATGAGACGTATTAGCTTAGAATTATAAGTCTTAAAGAAAAGAATAAAGTTATTAGGATTGTAAAAGTGACTCAATAGTCACATACTGAGCTATTAAGGTCTGTTCAAAAGCTGGGATGAATGATTTAAATGTGTAGTGTTTCTGTATATGCTACACCTTCAACTCACTGAGTTTGGATCTAATGGTTTGCATCTCTGATTGAAGACAGTTACATTAACCTTGCACAGGCTCTCTAACCGAACACTGGTCGAGTCAGAGCTTACGAAAAACTGTCATCGGAATTGATTACTTCAAGAGGTGTCTGTCATGTTTGTCGGCCTCCCCCGCTTATAATTAACTTTATCATAAACATGCTTTTGGAACTAACATTTTCCTTGTCTGACTTCTCAGCGGTTGACCTTCTACCAGGAGATTTACTTGTTGACTTAGAATACCCAACTGTTTAGTGAAGATGCTAATAAAATTCAATGTCTTATGATTACCTTACATAACAATGCAAACATGTTTGGGATTCTACTATTTCCCTCCAAATGCAAAATGTTGCTTTAAGATTGGCTTGCATCGACTCTTGAATTAGTGATAGAATCAAGTAGTTGAGCCCGTCAACCACTTCACATTATCTTGGGAGTCTCGTCTATCCTGATGGGGTGGTGTCTGACGAAACCTTGTGGCGTGGGTTAGACATCCGTCTGCCAATCATAGGACGGGTTTTTTACACGGCAGTTCGCTTCGTTATTAATATATTATGGAATTGAGACATTCCCCTTAGGAATAGCGGATTTTCGTAAGTTTCTAGTAGTCGATCATAGATGTCTTCTTAGCTTGTTTATTCTGGGACCACGTAGTAAGCAATACTGGGGTTAGCAATAGTGTACTAGATTTGAATGGCAAATCAATTGAATTAAGTAGAAAATCTTGGTCAGTCGAGGTGGATGGGACACGTTTTACTTATGTCAAACCACCGACTACCTCGGCGGGTTATACTGTCTAGTGTAGAAGTAGGCTGGGTGAAAGCTATAGACGGCCAAACTAGTATATAACTCAAGTCCATGAAATCATTGAGTCGTACTGAGTTATGTTAACTGATACAAACTACCTAGTTTGGGTCCATGTGAATATCGGTACCAGTTGTTAGAGACTTGAAATGAAATGGTTCAAAATCGTTTACAGTGGCGCCGGTGTATCCATTCTTTACTTTCCTGTAGATTTTAAGCCTCCAAATTTTTCATTTCACCAAATTATATGTTCTTCGTTGCCTAGTTTTTCCTATTCTTACTGATACTGTCACTACCTCTTCTACTGTGGGGTTTGGCTTGACGTTTTCATCTTCTTTGTGCTTACTGGATACGGCAACTTGAACTGATGTACATAAGTATCAAGTTCTATGTTACATGTTAATACATATACAGACCAATACAATCAAAACACTTTGTACTTTTAGAGTAAAAATGTAAAAGTATATTATGAACCTTACAAAACTTCTACTTCCAGATGTACTGAAATGTTTAGTTTTTAGTATTCTTTTGAACTACGTACTATTGAATTTGTTCTTCTCTCTTTTTCGTCCCTAATTCAAGTGATTATCTAGCTTTTCATGCAATCAGATTACTTGATAAATTCAAATAGAGTTGCAGAATAAATTGAATTTGCTGTTTTATTTCATAGTTTATGATCAGCTCCATATTAGCCTAAAATAACCATTCTTAATACTATTATAAAAACAATATTTAACATATATTAGTTTGTGACCTTGAACGACATGGCTCAAAATCGTTTGCAATGGCGCAAGTGCATCCATTCTTTGAGTTCTCTCAAATCCTAATCTTCTGGATTGGTCAGCACATCTACCTTTGTCTTTCTAACCTTATCTCACTGAATTATATTTCTTGAATAATATCTTCGAACCCTAGTCTTCTTCATTACCATTAATACCTCTACTATCTTTATCACTACGGGATTTGATTTGACATTTGCGTCTCTGTGCTAATAATGTGGTATGGCAACATGAACTTATGTACATACGTATGAAGTTCTACGTTGCAACTGACTGACTGATATATTAGTTTGTGAAGTTTACTTACATGTTCTGAGCCTAACTGAAATCATCATCATCATCATCAAGATAAAAGAGCTTACGTAAGGGTTATCACATTGTTCATTGATTGCATAACCAGTCGACGTGATAAGAAGTAAGTATGTGCATATCAATGAGATTATGCAAGAGATAAATACTACAAGATGAAAGAAAGGGGTGGGGGGAGTTGAGGAACGTCTTTTTGCTGAACAATCACTCCATTAAAGGATTCCAATCCAATTTTATTTAAAGGAGAAGTTTATTTTTCCTGATTGTGCATGCATCTTAGACTAATATATATATATATATATCCCTTCCTTGCAATTTATAATTCATATCTTTAAAGAAATTTGGAAAAAATAAGCAATATGTAAGGCAAACATGTATTGTAATGCAATTAACTATTTTTTGTACACATGCATAAAATAAAAACTCATCTTAATTAAGCAATTACTACTTAAATAACCTCTCTTTCATCATTTTAATTCATAAGGTTATAAATTAAGTAAATTCTGTCCAAATCTATTTTGGTATTGAATACTTGTAAATTCTAATAAAAATGGAATGTATTTTTTATCACAGAATGACATCGATTTGTTATGTTAGATGGGGTTGTCTGATTCAGCTATTCATTATACACTATTTTTATTTATAAGCCTAATCTGCTATTTGAAAGAAGAAATTAGAGTAGTACCATTGAAAACTAAGGAGACTATTTTCATCTTAATAAAGTACCTTTTGACATTGTACATTCAGCACATCACCAGGAGTCTAACCCGTCTTTCAGATCCTGCAGAGTGCACTTAACTATTGCCACTTCACGTAAACAAACATTTATGCATCAAACCGATTTTCACTAAGCTTCAATTATCATGTTATTTACATTTTTCATTGTCTTTTTTTGTTCAAACTACTTTTATAGGATCTAATTGATGTGACACATCATGTACACTATACCAATTATTTTTCATCACGTTTAACAAGTATTGCTGAAGCAAGTAAATTTTTAGCCACTGAAGATAGTCGTGAACCTTTAAGTCAATTAGAAACGGAACGTTTAGCTCACCAACGTAAATTGGCTAAATTAGAATCTGAAATGGAGAATGTTTTTGAACAAAAAGTAGGTTTTTTTTCGCTCTATTTATCTGTGCTATATTTTTTCTGATTATGGTTACTATTCTCTGTGTTGAATCATAGAAGTTTTATTTTTATAAAAGAGAATATTGTGACTCCCTATACTGAAGTGCACGAAGCAAGTTTTGAACATACAGTTCAGTAGTTGATGACAATATGTTTTAAATGTTGAAATATCGCTTACAATGATGAATGGATTATTGACAAGAGATGCCAGTAGTCTACTTCTATCACCTTGATGAAAAACGCCATGTAAATACGGTTGGAAAATAATGTTTCTTTTTCTGTAGCCTGCTTCATAATAAATCAAAGAGAGTATATATATGTGTGTATTTACCAACTAGGTATTTTTCATTAAACATTTCCTTAATATTCCAAAACCGTCTTCCGATGTTCACGGTGGGTAACATTTTCACAAGAAGTCCAATGGCAACTAGTAATTAGAGAGCATATGATTAATTCCTATAAAATTCGAAAATCTTTATAACCTCCCTTTAATAATTCATCATGTAGTCGCTGATCACTAGTTTTAAAGGGTAGGTTTCATCTTACTTAGGACTCCTCATATGGGTTTACCTGCATTATGATGTAGATACATATGAGGCGTCTCAAGTTAAACAAATGAGTGTGTTACATTTCACTACCAACCTCAATCAATGAAAACTTATGGAAAGTAGCCATATCGAGGCAATCTGCACAAGATAAACACATCCCAACTAAGATCGATTAGTCAAAATATCAACAACGATATGTTTGAAATCATTACAACAAGTTAAATCACCAGAACATTGGATAAATGGGGACAGTGAATGAGACACTTCATCCCATCAAGGTTTTCAAGATGATAGAATTGATGAATCATTTCATCAATGCATGGATTTGATAGATCATCAAAATTAATGGAGTGAATTTTAAAATTTACTGGGTGAATAAGCTCAATGTGATATTATTTACTGTCATTAAATACACATGTACTTTTAACCAATTAGCTGATAGGTAGGTATACTTTCCGCCGCCATACTTATTCTAGTTAATTAAAGTTATTCTTTCCTTTTTGCTATGTGTAAACTTGTTTATGATAGGTTCATGAACGTACAAATAAATTAATTGAAACAGAACGTGATCTTGTGGAACGTGCTGAACAATCAGAGAAACATTTATTATTACAGTTAACCGAGTTCGAAAAACGTAGACAAGAATTCGAAGATGAACGTGCTATGTGGGAAGCAGAAAATCGTGAATCTTTGGAAGTAAGTTGTTTGAAGCTTTAAATTTTTCCATATATTGAGCTTACTTACTTACTTACGCCTGTTACCCACAATGAAGCATAGGCCGCCCACCAGTTTCCTCCAACCAACTCTGTCCCGGGCTTCCCTCTCCAGTTCTGTCCAATGTTTGTTCATTCCTCTCATATCTTTCTCTATTTCTCGGCGTAATATGTTCCTTGGCCTTCCTCTTTCCCTTTTGCCTTGAGGGTTCCATGTGAAGACTTTTCTCGTGATGCAGTTAGCTGATTTTCGCAGTGTGTGTCCTATCCACTTCCACCGCTTCTTCCTGATTTCCTCCTTTACTGGAATCTGGTTTGTTTTCTCTCACAGTACGTTGTTGCTGATGGTGTCTGGCCAACGAATTCGAAGTATTTTGCGTAGACAACTGTTAATAAACACCTGTATCTTCTGGATGATGGCTTTCGTAGTTCTCCAAGTTTCCGCTCCATACAGTAGAACTGTCTTGACATTTGTATTAAAAATCCTGATTTTGGTTTTGGTTGAAAGTTGTTTGGATTTCCAGATATTTTTCAACTGTAGAAATGCAGCCATCGCTTTGCCAATCCGCACCCTCACATCTGCATCCGATCCAACTTTCTCGTCGATGATGCTGCCCAGATATGTAAAGTTGTTAACGTCCTCGAAACCATCTCCATCAAGCGTGATTTGGTTGGCGCATGTTGTATTGCATTGGAGGATCTTTCTTTTTCCTTTATGTATGTTGAGACCTACTGCTGCAGAGGCTGCTGCTACACTGATCGTCTTCTCTTGCATTTGTTGTTGCGTGTGCGATAGAAGAGCCAGGTCATCTGCCAAGTCCAGATCGTCCATCTGCATCCTAGCTGTCCATTGGATTCCGTCCATGAGATTCCCATCCTATCAGTGCCTTTTGTGCATGTTTGGACAGCATCAGTGCAACTCCTTGTGTATGTGAAGCATTTTCCTCTTCATGACCAGAGTATAACAGCAGTTCCCCTGAAGCTAGTCTCAGTTATCCTACCTGTGTCCAATGCGTTTCACTGATGCCGAGCACCTCGAGGTTGTATCTTTTCATTTCTGCCGCAACTTGAAATAGTCTTCCAGTCTCCCACAATGTACGAACGTTCCATGTACCTAAAAAAAGGGTTCTTCTGGTTATCGGGAGAGGCATCGGTTTCGTGACTTCGGAGGGAACTCGGCTTTTCTGATGAAACATCGTAATTCTTCTTCCGATTCCCAGGACAGAGTTAAAATGGTTTGAATTATTTGTTCCGGTTAGCGTTTTTTTGGCAATTTAGATTTCGACCGTAAGAGGTCGCCAATCACATGTCCAACGCTCCTCCTTTATCCGGGCTTGGGACCGGCAGTAGCCCCTAAGGTTCTACTGGCGAAGTCCATATATTGAGCATTGCTAAATAATATCCAACAATAGAAACTAGGATGCGTGTTTCGTCTTATTTCGGGACTGCTCATATGGACGTACCTCCATCTGCATTGATATTTACACCAGAGCTAGAACCTAGTACATCTCGCTTTCAACGTCAAACGTGTTATTCCCTCTAGCCACTGAGGCCAGATGATCGGTGGCTTGTGCGATGAAGATTCCATTACTAGCCACTATCTCATTCTGCTTAATATGTTTGCGACTTAATGGCAATACTAAGACGATTTGCACATAATGCAGTCTTTAACACCAACTAGCTGATTCAAACAAGCCCCACAAATGAGTTTATTTCCCATATAGTTGAAAGTACATTATTGTACTTCAGCGCTATTCACCCACCATAAGTAGAATGTGAATAGCAATGGATTCCAGGACGTGCGTTTCATTCTATTTGAGACTCATCAACTAATTTCTTCTGCTGGTTACATTCCATCCTTTCTATGAAATCGTGCAACATAATGGCTGTGTTGAACCAATCCTCACAAGATACTCATATATCAACTAAGACTGATTAAAATTCACTCAAAAAGAGAATAACAACGGGATAATTCAAACAACCACTAAAAATCTACTTGACATATCATACATACATAGTTTGTGGTTAAGAAAAAATGAAATATTTTAACGCACCTTCAAAACAATTGCATTTTATATGCTGACACACTTTTCACTCACTAATTTCTTGTAACCTCTTTATTTATTTAGTTTTTTAAGAATTCATTTCCGTTTTCGATTTTTCTTCATTTCATCCTATTCTGCTTATTGTTTCCAAATCTTTGCAATTTCTTCTTATACACATTCATTTTGTGCCTGTCAAAAAGCTTAAGAGGTTTATACAATAATCTAGACAGAAAATATTTGCATAAAATCTCTCTCTCTCTCTCTCGATAGACGGCAAGAAAGAAGATAACTGCTCATGATGTTACAATGTTTTAAATTTCCTAGTTTTACTTAGAGAAATCAAATCAAATCAAATCAATGTTCAACACACAAAAATCTCGTTAATCTAATGCTGATGATAATTTTTAATTATCATACATGAAAAGGCAAACACAATTGTGATTTTCTTCAATTCCAAGCAAATTAGTATAATATAGTGTTGTGGTGGTTGACATTCGATATCTTCCGAAATTCTGTATATTGTTCGTTTTGACGACTGCTACTATAAAAACGCGAGTCGCTACCAGAATTTCTTTATTATTCAAAATATATAATGATCGATATGATTGACAAATTTATTACAAATATAAAATAATCGATATTGTCATTGAATTATTGAAACGATTAGTCAATAAAGCTAGCTGAATGACTATGTGCATAGGCGGTTAGCAATGCCCAAGCATACACACGTGTACAAGCTGAACAATGGTAACAGTACGAAATGTGTTTGAGGTGCCGCAGTTCTTTACATTGACATCGTGAATCAACCATCGTTAGGCGGTCATTAGAAACGTGGAACCACTGGACGGCTGTTTCGTCTTGGTATAGTGCACATCCGCGACTCCCGTTACTCGAGGGAATCGAACCCAGAACCTTTGGTCTTGCGCGCAAACGTCCAACCTTTGGACTACGTAGTGGGCATCCAATGGTGTTAATGTATAACTCTAATCTCCACTAAATGGTATACAACTTAGAATGTAAACTTAAATCCCATAGTTTAACATTCTACATTCTAGAAAATCAGATCAAACCATTCCCTGTTCTGCATGGTTTTTGAACACGTTGTTTGGCTTATTCTTAGCCAACCAGTGCGCTAGTGGATATTTAGAGAAGACTGTAGAATTTCCTCATGTAAAGTGATTAGTACACTAACGTGTTTCTTATTATGACTCATTCCGATTTAACTTGCCCAAGCCGTTTTCTAATTTTCGGCATTAGTCGAATGAATTAAAGTGTCTGAAGAATGTTAAGCAATAAAGTGGGGGGGGGGTAGCTGAATCGAATAACAAAAGATTTAATTCACATTTGTCATTAAAATAATTCATCAACAGTTATTTTGACATTAAAGCCTTATTTAAGTGAAATTTTACAGTCTGCGACGAATAAACAACAACTGTTCCTTTTTGTAAAAAAAACAAAATAATATCAACGACCAGAATATTTAAAACTTGTTTTTGTATTTCTCTCTCTCTCTCTCCCTTTTACTCTCTTTTTTCATAAAATTTTCAACTGAAGTACAAAGTTTTGGTTTATATTGTTATGATTTTCAATCTAGAGAAAAGTATAGTTACATTCATTCATTATTCATTGTGATGTAGTGAAAATAATTCTACTGTAAAGAAAGCAGACAAAATTTTTGTACCAGTTGTCTTCATTTCTTGTCAAATGTTGTTCATTATCTTTGAAAAAACAATAAACCAACGTTATAATCAGACACTGAAATTGTATGAATATAGGCTTTATTGCCATTGTCATTTCTTCCCAATAAAACTTGTTCGGAAACTTCCTTTTTAATCACCACCATAAATCAAATATTTATCTTTTCGATTTGTTGCTTTGTTGAAGATTTGTGTAATTTGATAGCAGATTGATTGCTGCTTCTATCATCAAAAAAAAACGAACTAGTACTAATTGAAAAACTTCACTCTGAACAACGATTTCTTGTTAGTTTAAAATGCCTTATCGACCGCGTTCAATCACAAACTGAACTGGTATGGACAGCCTCATATTTATTATTCGCATGGAACTCCGGATGCACATGTACTTGTTCAAGCTTATGCTAGTTTAAACAGGATACTCATGTAACGTGTCACATATGTTATTATGATCGGATTAGTTATTCTGTACTTATTCATATGCATAATTTTATAAACTTTTATCCATGTACGTTTTTTTTAAATGTACGTGTAACTGGTTGTGTTTTTGTATGACTATATTAGTAGTAAATGTAATCTTTGGTTTTAGATATATAAACTCACCACACAATTGATTATTACTACATTAATCCACTAGCCATATAATTGACTGTCAATTCAATCTACACAGTACAACGAACGACCAACCAGTACATCGATCCATACTTCATATGATCTTTGTACTTTATCCTTGTAGTTTGTTGAATCAGTTTGTTTGGAACATGTATTTATTGTTACATTATATTTCATACAACTTTTGATATCGAGTTATCAAGTAAATGTGATTACTCAACGGGCTCGATCTAGAAATGATATCGAGGAAATCTGTATTAGCTTACCTAACCACTACATCGCCTACTTTGACAGTTTATGTTAGTTGATGTAAGCGCAAGTTGGAAGTATTCTAGATATGGCCAATCCGAGACGTAACATCAATCTATGAAGCCATATTAGTGTATTCTGATTACCTTGTTGAGGTCCACATGATAACCACATGTATGACTTATTACCCGTCATCATATCGCAGATGCATTAACAATTCGTTATCGTCTCGTAGATCAAGAGTTCCATTAATGTCGGATAAATACCTCTTCATTCTATCTTTTCGTACCATATTGTAAATGTTTTCAGTAACATTCCTACTACACTCTTTCGAATCCTTTCCGATTCATCTCGTCAATGCTAATGTGTGTTATGGTGACTTGAATTAATCCACCTTTGTCCCAGGTTCAATGTTGATTATAACAGAACCACAACTTGATACGGTGTTAAAGTGATTACGACACCAGTTTATTGGAATCGTATGAGAATGAAGTTTTTTTCAAAAGCCGATAACTTCAATAGCTCATAATTGAGTTGATGTACTATTGGTAACTCTACTTTTTATGATAAGCAGTTAAGTAAGATTATAGTTAATAGTTAATACTAGTTAGACTTAATTTATCTCGGTCTGTCAACGAAAAATACAGTTAATCTCCCACTGGTAATAAGTCTTTCAAGGATAATTCATCCTATTAACTTTCAATTTTCGCTCATATTCATCATCTTAAATCATATTTCCAGTGTTTAATCCTTTTCACTTTTATTGCTTATAACAATTAATTCTATTCATTTGTTAATTGTGTTCATATTTCATCTCGTTGTGTTTACATGATCACGGTCATCTCAGTGCACTGATGTGTTTGTGTTAGGTTCTACGTTAATTATGACTAACTGACTACTATGATGGTTAGGTGTGTATGATATACCCCATTTTTATTTCCTTTTTTTCTCCATTATACTACTTATTTAATAGTATAGCAACAGTTGATTTGTTCATTCCATAATAGAGTGTGATATGAACAATCTAACATTGATCAGTAGTATAGAGAAGGTCAGTCCTAGTAAAAATTATTCATTCAATACATGTAATATGTATATATATATATATATATATATATATATATATATATGTAGATTTGTAAATATTCGATGAACACAAAATGTGTAGAAAGAAATCCATTGGATTTTATGAAATATATTAGTCATGATTAGTGTGTGTGTGTGTGTGTGTCTATGTATGTATGTGTATACTTTACCTACCTACTTACCTACCTACCTATCACTTTCTTTGTGTATACATATAACACAATATCGAACATAGTAGCACAGTGAAGAAGAGCCTAGTATAACTATACATATATATATGTATGCATATATGGTGGATTGTGATTCATATATTTTAAACAAAAAATACACATTGAATTTTGTCCATTTTAATGATGTATGTTCTTGTTGCGGTTACTTGTTTTTAGAATTTTTCAGTTTATTTTTCTTTGAATAATTTTTTTATTATTTGTTTTTATTTATTATCATTATTATTATGATTTATGCAAATTATTTCATCACTTGTGTAAGGATGGATAAACTACTGCAATGGTTGTGATTGTTTGTGATTGTGTTTTTGTTTTTTATTATTGATTATATTATTCGACAAGAACTAGGCTACTGACAAGATTAACAACAACAACTTCTATTGCTACTACTACTACTACTACTACTACTACTACTACTACTACCATACTACTACTCTGAGTAGTAGTAGTTTGGTGTGTGCTACTTATACGAACGATATAAGTAGTATAAGAAGGGACGTGAAAGAAGAAGTCTCACGATCAGAAGAGGAAAACGGAAAGCAAATGGAGCAAAAGCAAGAAGTGAATGGAATACCAACAGGAAGGAATGGAAGAAGGCTGGAGCGTTGGAAGTCAGGACTCAAAGATGGTGTGCAAATAGAGTGTTCAATGTAATGTTTTCGTTTTGTTGGGCAATTCCTCTTCCAATGTCCGGTTCCTCCGCAAATATAGCATTTATTATTTCTTTCACCCTTTATTCGTAACGCTGCCACCTCTCGTTGTAATTCTTCTATCTTCTTCACGACATCATCAGCCTGTCTTTCACACGCCACCGAGGCGACTGTTGAGTTCATCAGTTGTCTTGTTACTTTCGCCAGCTCGGTGACGTCCATTGGTTGTGCCGCGTTCACCAGTCTCAACTGTTGGCCAACCTCTGCAGGCACACTTTCAATGAATTGCGAGGCTAGCAGCTGTGCTTGCGACTCCTCATCCAAACTCGGCAGACCCCGGCGCAGCAATCTTGTCAACTCCACGGCCAGCACGAGTGGGTCGCCATCCACCGACAGTCGCGCCTCTTGGAACTTCTGCAGCGCGTCCTACCTATCCGCCGGGCTATCGAACTCCACCAGCAGCCCTTCCGTCACCATCTTCCAGTCAGCGTCCTCCACACTATCGTACACCGCTCTCGCCCTGCCTCTTAGTAGAGTCCCCAGCACCACCGCCTTCGCCCTCCGTTCCTTGACTCCGACCAGCTCCGCCACGGCCTCGAACTCCTTCAAGAAGCTCCCTACATCTCCGTCTTCAAACTCCCGAGGCCATGGTATCTTCGTCCTGTGTAGAAGCAGCGACACCAATTGAGAAGACTGAGGCAGGTTCGATGGATTGTATTTAGCAAATTTACACTCTTAGTCAATTAAAAACGAAAACATTACATTGAACACTCTATTTGCACACCATCTTTGAGTCCTGACTTCCAACGCTCCATCCTTCTTCCATTCCTTCCTGTTGGTATTCCATTCACTTCTTGCTTTTGCTCCATTTGCTTTCCGTTTTCCTCTAGTGACCATGAGAGTTCTTCTTTCACGTCCCTCCTTATACTACTTACATCGTTCGTATAAGTAGCACACACCACATTAGTAGTGGCAGTAGTAATGGTTTAATAATAATAAAAATAATAATGATATCCACCTGTATGAATGTGGTTGACCATGGTAAACTGTTCGTTTTATTGATCTGTTTTCACTTAGTATTTAAGGACCATTTTGTTTTGTTGTTGTGTGTAAGAAAATGAATAACCCTCATAGGTTACATCACAAGTTGATCTTAGCTAAGTCATCACTAAAAATCAGGAAGCACCAGACAAATGTTCCGTTCCAATATATGACTCAGCAGTTAATATCCACGACCTGATCACGGGATTTAACTGAAGACCGACAGATTTCATGCGTGAACGCCTAATATCTCAACTACTGAGCCATCTAAAACGTTTAAATTCAATCAATTCACAATATTGCTTGACCATCGGCTGCAGTGGATAACTACTACCTCTCACTCAACATGGTTGGTGTGCACCGGTCAACGCTTCTCTATAGAAACGCAGGAGTTGCTAGTCACACGTGAGCATATGATTATTTAATGGTAAACGGAGATTTTCTAAAGATTATAGAAACTTCGTCCCCAATAGGGTTGTGGATGCACATTTCTGAAGAGTAGTCACATGCTAAGACAAAATGGTTGTCCATTACTTCCTGGTTTTAAATGGTAGTCTAGCTAAGATCAGTTCATGATTTAAGTTACAATCTCCACAAATTCAAATTATCTGATTTCTTTTTTTATAAAACATTCGAGATGGAAAGATCGAAACCTAAGGCTAAAAAATATGTCTAGAACTAGGCAATTGTAATATTAGTATTACCCCATTTAATTATAAATAAGTGTCAAAATATGAGTTCAGCTAAAAGTTATTGGTTACACCAGTAATAGCTCATTGGTAACATTTGTGAATATAACACTGAATTAGTTAGTTATACAAGTCACGAAGACCATCAATTCTATCAAGATTTGTAGATATACCTCTTACTGACGAGTCCCATGTAGAATAAAACTTGATTTCAGAGTTTCATAATGATTTCCTCAATGAGTTTATCTATATGTAGGTATCATTTCAAGTTGATAAATATCATAATTAGCACAGCAAGAGGGGTAACATAATATAGGTGAAAATAATAATATGAATGATAGTGAAAAAAGTTCAACGAAAATACTAGAACACAGTGAGTGAGATCCGTAGAGCAAGGTTTAGAAATAATCTCTCTATTGCAAACTTAGAGTAAGCGTTAAAACATTGGTATAACTATGGTTGATTTTCAACATCTTTTATCTAGTCGCTCGTAAACCCATAAACCTGATAGCGTAAAACGAACATTTTATTGAACGTTAACAAACCTTTAACCGTTTAACCGTAATTGGGTGAAAGCTTTTCCAGGAATAACTATGATACATGTATCTGTGAGCATATTTCTTAAAATAATCATGTGACCTGATTGGCTAGGTCGATCGTAGAATCTTTGATGGTATTCGTTCACTTTCTAGGGGAGAAGATACTTCTTCAGAACTTCTGAATGTTAGCAATATGAATATTATATCTATGCCTTCACAGTGAATGCCAAACACATCGTAACAAATATACCGGATCTCAATCTGCATATTTTTAGTCGTCGGCAATAACATAGTTGGTTACAATTCTCTTATAAGTTGACTTAAATATTTTTAGTAAACTTTTTTTACCTGTATGAAGTACTCATTGAGTTGAACTTTCCTCGTAATATTAGTTACGACATGTCTCTCGTTGTTACTTAATGAAAACTATGTACATAGTTTATATGAATTCTGTATTATGTCCAGCAATATCTAACCTTCATTACTGATTGATTTCTATCGATATTTCTACTTATAATTATTGATTGTCATTTGTTTAACCATATTAATTATATATAGAGAAACTCGATTTGTACACCATTTACTCATTGTAATACTATATTTGTCTGTTGTTGTTCAAAAATGATTTGTTCTGTTTCAGACTACTACTATCTTAAATAAGTACGTAAAATTACTTTCATAAAAATTGCACTCCACAAAATTTAAGTCAGGTCGAACTTTGTCCCTACATACTACACACGGTTTACCGCAATACACTAGTTTCACTGGGTTATTACTCTTCACTAAAAGCCCATATATTATATCTCCTTTATCTGCCTTCTTGTCTCATTCTTTTTGTCGCCGTTTCAGAATGCAATCTAATGTGATGATTAAATTGTAGACAATCAAATTTGAATATTCAAGAGTACATTGTTACATAATTGTAGATAATTTATGTAATTGTATGAAAATAGATAAACTATTTGAATCAAACTGAATGAGTGGTATGGTGTTGGTGCAGATATCAGTACTAACAGATTAATCGTTTCTTTATTTATAACTATAAATAATGTTATTTCGTAGACCAGCTCATGTTTTTATATCGTTGAATGTTTTTCTTCTGTTCACAGGCTCTGCAGATTACAACAGATCGAGGTGATTTTCTCAAGGATAAATTTCGAATTAAACGTAAAGGATTGTTTTGATTTTCAAAACAGTTGTACTTTTTTTTGAAGGGTTTCGATTTAGGAAAATGTTTGTTTAATTTATCATTTCACACATATAATCGAGTATTTTTAACAGTGATAAATAAATATCCATAGATCTACAGAATATGTAGTTGAAGTTTGTAAATTACTTATAAAACTCATGCTTTTCGTATTCACATTATGTAATTTCAAGATTCCACTGGTTACTTTCTTTTGTGCGCCTTCTTTTATTGTCTTCCTTTATCCCAACAGACATAATACATTGAATAATGAAACTTTTGTTTTATTTTACAATAACACTGTTGGTTATATATGTTAATATCATCTTTCCACTTTATCATCATTATTCAATTTTGATTTCAGTAAAACAAAAGTAATTTTTATAGTTGTTATTTACTCTAATTTTCTGTGTTACAGGTAATTGGAAACGTTCATATGTTCGTGGGTAAACCATGAACGTTTACTTTATACCTGTGAAAAATGCTCTTTAATGATTACTGACATACATAATATCAACGACATTCAATCTTACGTCCATTTAAAGCATTACTCTTGAATAAGTAATGCTAAGATTAGATAAAGTGAACTAAGTGAAAATGCTAAATTGACAGGAATGGTTAAACATTCGCAACACATCTAGGTTCGTCATCTGGCTTGAGTATTGTATGAACCATCCACATAAATTCTTCAATTGATTTCGTATATTCTGCTTTGAATAACCTCGTCTAGGCAATAGCGTTGATAAAAAAACCAAATACAAATAAAGTTGCCAAAACTTATTTCAGACATTCTTTTATGCAAACAGACTGTTTGAGCTGCGAAACGGAAAAGGCGAACGTGCCAACACTGAGTAATAAATAGCTCAGTTTATTATAAACACGAAAGTGATACGAGTAAACTGACACTAGCATGATCAAGGTTATGTGTGAGTAGGTGTTAATATCAAACGTGTGCGTGATAAAACATATAAGAAGTCTACAATAAATTATCTGTTCGAAGGTCAGAAAAATTCATTTTCGTGTGAGGACAGAAATTTCCTTCACTACTCTAATGTTCTATGCTAGCTAGCACAGAGAAGCTTTAAAAATAAACTCAAACATGAACAAAACAAGATGTAGTAAACCTTTCCAATAAGTCACTGACTATTGTTCTCACCGCATTTTTGATGTAACATACGACCTGGTCGCCATCAGTGTTTTGAATAAATGCAGTGCTTCGGCACTTCGATTGATGCAGTTGTTTATTACTAATAACGCAAGATACTACTTATGAGTAATCGGAATTGAATGGTGTTTTTTTATAATAGAACAATAAAAGCAATTTTTAAACAGTAAAAATTTTAATATGTCTGCGGATACTTGTTTATTTGTGTTGAATAAATGCATCAAACAGATGTGTACAACTATTTCTCGAATATAATTCAGATGTTAACATGGTATCGGTTTGTGGATATTGTTCAATTATTCATCGAGAAACCAACATCAGTGGATGTAATAATGTATAACAAGCTCGAATTTAAAATCGTTAAGTTGATGCACAATACGCGATACATGTCACGTAGTCATCTTAATGGTGATTAGCCATAAATGACTTTTGATAAGCATGAAAGGAATACATTACACTCACAGAATATCATCTGTGACATGTCATGTACTAGTATTCTTCTATCTTTTTCGTATATATTTTTCACCTATCAAATAAAGATTGGTGTATGGCTGGTAATGTAACATCTATTCATCAATACTTGTTAAGATTATATGAACAACTAAATTACTTTTAGCCAGTGTAATTTGAATAATTTGTGCCTCCTAAGGTATACTTCACTAGCTTACTTATCTAAACAGTGACGATCTGTGACGAAAGGCAAATGAAATGTAAGCTGTCATATATAGGCTCAATGGTCTATAGGTTAAACACGAAAGAACATATGGGTCTTCGGTTTGACACCGGTAGATGCGCATTTCTAAGAGGTACTAGACCAGTACGAATATCTGTTCAGTAGTTCCTAGTTTTGAGTGATTACCCAAACTAGGATCATTTCGTGATGTAGGCCGTAAAATTTGACATTTTCCGCAAACTCCCAATAGTGATAGGTGAAGTGTATTCTGTCACTGTCATTCATTTTGAATCTTCGTTATTAATTCTGAACCACTAGATTGTTTATCATTAGTAGACGTTTCTGGTGTCAGGTACTGTGACTCGACCGAATTCCATTCATTTTCAAACCCTTTCACCACCAAGTCAGTCGCATAGAGCTCATCAAGAGCTAACTCGGACAGGTGCAATACTTGTACGCAAATAAATTGACTAAATATTCACTACGCGTCAAATTTTAGAATATTAACATAAGTTTAATTCTTGACCCCAAGGTAGAATTCGACTCTGTTGACCGAAAGGTTTTGTGACAAAATTTCTCCTTCATAGGTATATCAAAAAAGTCTATAAATCCTGTGAAAGCTCCCTAATCTAGCACTATTCATTGATCCAAAGCTTGTGTTGAACTCCTGCCAGAATTATTATTCTCTCTACAGGTCTTTAGTTTTTCATTGATATCCGCCAAGAAATAACAGTCCCTTGGTCAGCATTGTCACTGATTAGTATCGTCCCAGGATTTTTCGCTTATTAACTAAGAATACACAACCAAATTGGTCTTAATTCGTCTTAAACAACAATACAAGCATATGTGGGATGCTCTTCTCTAAGTCTGAAGGCGGAACACCTCTTTAAAGCTGGTCTGTGTCGACGACGACTGAACTGATGATCGAAAGTAAGAGAGTCGGAAGCGTTGATTAACCCTGTTATCTTGGAGGTATCATCAGTTCTGATAGGTTGGTGTCTAACAAAATCTCAACACTGACTCAAACATTTGCTTGCCTTTTATCAACCAGCGTCATTCTAAGTGCAGGTACAATATTCATCTTAAAACAGAAAGTCATTCATGATAACCGGCTCTCAGTCCTGCGTTACTTTATGTCTAGGAAATACCTCTTTAGTTTCATCTTGTAGCGACAATGTGGTATGGCAACCAGGTGCAAGGCCCACCCATCACAAACTCTATGTAGTTGATGTCTATCTACCTTGGACCACAATTAACTCCAATTCTTAGTGTTTTATAGACAACCGAAGGATTTAATTATTGTCTTGAAATAACAATGCTTACTTGATAATACTGATTCTGAATTACATAACGATAAATTAATACTGGAGTTTTCTACGTTCTACGTTTCACACTGGAAGTGGCGTTGAATTAGATGGAAATGTCTATTAACCTCAACATAACTAACCTATATCATTTATTATAAAACCATCCACACGACCTATTTGTACAATGGAAAACAAAACGCTAATTCAGTTATATGTATTACAGAAAATAAATGAGATTAAAATAAAATTAAAGCCAATTATCTTGTTGTTCACGTAGATTTATTTTCATGTTCCCTCAATCAAAAAAATAATTTCTATCAATTCGTATCATCAATCTAGGAAACACAATACTTCATAACTTGTGTGCGAGTGTTCTTTACCACCCCATGGAAAATATGCACAACCATGTGACGGATGAACTTTACCAATACACATTTCATTATTCACTACATGACGAGCAATATACAAAGGTTCCGATGAACTTGTTTCACCAGCTTTCAATGCTTTATCTGGTACATGACCTCCAAAAGATGAAACCCAATTATATCTAAATGAAGAAAAACAATTAGTATAAGTAAATGTTTACAAATATTTTGAATATCGGGAGTTGAATATCGGGAAATGAATGAATTCATTAGAACATGGCTATTGAAGAGAAACACTTGAATAACTGTGCAACACCATTTCTCAATTGTTGTGTTTTAAATATGAAGTGAGTTAGTTTGTGAAAGTAGAAACTTGAAAGTAAAGATTGTATTTATTCAACAACTCACACAACAACACAGATACAATCAATTCGAGACAACAGCTGTACAGTTTCAATGGGTACGTCAATATAGAAGAACAGTGATCATTGAGCAACTGGTGAATAAGTTTAGTAGTGAATGTCATTATCAGATAGTAAAGAAGACCAACATTAAAATCATTTTTATAACAGTACAGGTATTCTGTTTGACAAGATCATACATAATCCTTGTTAAATAAACCAACCACTCCAACACATATATAAGATTATTCAAGCAAATCTATATTAATGCATCAGATTGAGTTACTCAGTAAAATTGGAAAACCATATCGTAAATCGCTAATTTGCAAATTATCAGTCCATCCTATCTAACTGGACTGTTCCTGTTGCAAAACATCAATCCATTGTCACTATTCATGCGTTTCATACAAATTCCATTGTGTTCCCACTCTTCCTTACTTGATCTTCCCCCATCTTCTGCTGCCAGACATTACGTTGACACTCACGTCATATACTACTTATAAGTAGCTCACACCACAATTTCATAACAAAACGTCAAATTGCATGAAGGAAGTACATGTAGTTTTCACTCTGGATTATTTTTAGTGTAAATTAAAATGAACAGATTTATTCGGTTAATACAACTAATATACACATTGAAAGAAAGCATTCTACTTCAACATCCGGGCTTAATCTATTCAGTTGCGTATATAAGAAGTTTACGCAACTGAATAGATTAAGCCCGGATGTTGAAGTAGAATGCTTTCTTTCAATGTGTATATTAGTTGTATTAACCGAATAAATCTGTTCATTTTAATTAACACTAAAAATAATCCAGAGTGAAAACTACATGTACTTCCTTCATGCAATTTGACGTTTTGTTATGAAATTGTGGTTTGAGCTACTTATAAGTAGTATATGGCGTGAGCGTCAACGTAATGTCTGGCAGCAGAAGATGGGGGAAGATCAAGTAAGGAAGAGTGGGAACACAATGGAATTTGTATGAAACGCATGAATAGTGACAATGGATTGATGTTTTGCAACAGGAACAGTCCAGTTAGATAGGATGGACTGATAATTTGCAAATGAACGATTTACGATATGGTTTTCCGATTTTACTGAGTAACTCTGTAATTACCACTAAATACAATCCGGTTGACCCACCTGTGTTCTCGTTCAATACAGAATTTCGCTAGTTCAAGTTAAGCATTTAAGATCAGTCACATCAAATTGTCAATCTGATGCATTAATATAGATTTGCTTGAATAATCTTATGTATGTGTTGGAGTGGTTGGTTTATTTAACAAGGATTATGTATGATCTTGTCAAACAGAATACCTGTACTGTTATAAAAATGATTTTAATGTTGGTCTTCTTTACTATCTGATAATGACATTCACTACTAAACTATTCACCAGTTACTCAATGATCACTGTTCTTCTATATTGACGTACCCATTGAAACTGTACAGCTGTTATCTCGAATTGATTGTATCTGTGTTGTTGTGTGAGTTGTTGAATAAATACACTCTTTACTTTCAAGTTTCTACTTTCACAAACTAACTCACTTCATATTTAAAACACAACAATTGAGAAATATCAAAATGGTGTTGCACAGTTATTCAAGTGTTTCTCTTCAATAGCCATGTTCTAATGAATTCATTCATTTCACGATATTCAACTCCCGATATTCAAAATATTTGTAAACATTTACTTATACTACTTGTTTTTCTTCACTGTTCTATCATTTAGATATAATTGGGTTTCATCTTTTGGAGGTCATGTACCAGATAAAGCATTGAAAGCTGGTGAAACAAGTTCATCGGAACCTTTGTATATTGCTCGTCATGTAGTGAATAATGAAATGTGTATTGGTAAAGTTCATCCGTCACATGGTTGTGCATATTTTCCATGGGGTGGTAAAGAACACTCGCACACAAGTTATGAAGTATTGTGTTTCCTAGATTGATGATACGAATTGATAGAAATTATTTTTTTGATTGAGGGAACATGAAAATAAATCTACGTGAACAACAAGATAATTGGCTTTAATTTTATTTTAATCTCATTTATTTTCTGTAATACATATAACTGAATTAGCATTTTGTTTTTCATTGTACAAATAATTCCTGTGGATGCTTTTATAATAAATGATATCGGTTAGTTAAGTTGAGTTTAATAAACATTTCCATCTAATTCATCGCCACTTACATTGTGAAACGTAGAACGTAGAAAAATCCAGTATTAATTTATCGTTATGTAATTCAGAATCAGTATTATCAAGTAAGCATTGTTATTTCAAGACAATAATTAAATCCTTCGGTTGTCTATAAAACACTAAGAATTGGAGTTAATTGTGGTCCAAGGAAAATAGACATCAACTACATAGAGTTTGTGATGGGTGGGCCTTGCACCTGGTTGCCATACCACATTGTCGCTACAAGATGAAACTAAAGAGGTATTTCCTAGACATAAAGTAACGCAGGACTGAGAGCTGGTTATCATGAATGACTTTCTGTTTTAAGATGAATATTGTACCTGCACTTAGAATGACGCTGGTTGATAAAAGGCAAGCAAATGTTTGAGTCAGTGTTGAGATTTTGTTAGACACCAACCTATCAGAACTGATGATACCTCCAAGATAACAGGGTTAATCAACGCTTCCGACTCTCTTACTTTCGATCATCAGTTCAGTCGTCGTCGACACAGACCAGCTTTAAAGAGGTGTTCCGCCTTCAGACTTAGAGAAGAGCATCCCACATATGCTTGTATTGTTGTTTAAGACGAATTAAGACCAATTTGGTTGTGTATTCTTAGTTAATAAGCGAAAAATCCTGGGACGATACTAATCAGTGACAATGCTGACCAAGGGACTGTTATTTCTTGGCGGCTATCAATGAAAACCCAAAGACCTGTAGAGGGAAATCTTGATGAACACTACTTCATATTAAAAATTCTGGCAGGAGTTCAACACAAGCATTGGATCAATGAATAGTGCTAGATTAGGGAGCTTTCACAGGATTTATAGACTTTTTTTGATATACCTATGAAGGAGAAATTTTGTCACAAAACCTTTCGGTCAACAGACTCAAATTTTACCTTGGTGTCAAAAATTACACTTATGTTAATATTCTAAAATTTGACGCGTAGTGAATATTTAGTCAATTTATTTGCGTACAAGTATTGCACCTGTCCGAGTTAGCTCTTGATGAGCTCTATGCGACTGACTTGGTGGTGAAAGGGTTTGAGCATGAATGGAATTCTGTCGAGTCACAGTACCTGACACCAGAAACGTCTACTAATGATAAACGATCTAGTGGTTCAGAATTAATAACGAAGATTCAAAATGAATGACAGTGACAGAATACACTTCACCTATCACTATTGGGAGTTTGCGGAAAATGTCAAATTTTACGGCCTACATCACGAAATGATCCTAGTTTGGGTAATCACTCAAAACTAGGAACTACTGAACAGATATTCGTACTGGTCTAGTACCTCTTAGAAATGCGCATCTACCGTTGTCAAACCGAAGACCCATATGTTCTTTCGTGTTTAACCTGTAGACCACTGAGCCTATATATGACGGCTTACATTTCACTTGCCTTTCTTCATAGATCGTCACTGTTTAGATAAGTAAGCTAGTGAAGTATACCTTAGGAGGCACAAATTATTCAAATTACACTGGCTAAAAGTAATTTAGTTGTTCATATAATCTTAACAAGTATTGATGAATAGATGTTACATTACCAGCCATACACCAATCTTTATTTGATAGGTGAAAAATATATACGAAAAAGATAGAAGAATACTAGTACATGACATGTCACAGATGATATTCTGTGAGTGTAATGTATTCCTTGCATGCTTATCAAAAGTCATTTATGGCTAATCACCATTATGATGATTATGTGACATGTATCGCGTATTGTGCATCAACTTAACGATTTTAAATTCGAGCTTGTTATACATTATTACATCCACTGATGTTGGTTTCTCGATGAATAATTGAACAATATCCACAAACCGATACCATGTTAACATCTGAATTATATTCGAGAAATAGTTGTACACATCTGTTTGATGCATTTATTCAACACAAATAAACAAGTATCCGCAGACATATTAAAATTTTTACTGTTTAAAAATTGCTTTTATTGTTCTATTATAAAAAAACACCATTCAATTCCGACTACTCATAAGTAGTATTTTCCGTGATCAGTAATAAACAACTGGATCATTCGAAGTGCCGAAGCACTGCATTTAATCATATCACTGATGGCGACCAGGACGTATGTTCCATCAAAAATGCGGTGAGAATAATAGTCAGTGACTTAATGGAAAGGTTTACTACATCTTGTTTTGTTCATGTTTGAGTTTATTTTTAAAGCTTCTCTGTGCTAGCTAGCATAGAACATTAGAGTAGTGAAGGAAATCTCTGTCCTCACGAAAATGAATTTTTCTGACCTTCGAACAGATTTATTGTAGACTTCTTATATGTTTTATCACGCACACGTTTGATATTAACACCTACTCACACATAACCTTGATCATGCTAGTGTCAGTGTCTGTTTACTCGTATCAATTTCGTGTTTATAATAAACTGAGCCATTTATTACTCACAGTGTTGGCACGTTCGCCTTTCCCGTTTCGCAACTAAAACAGTCTGTTTGCATAAAAGAATGTCTGAAATAAATTCTGGCAACTTTATTTGTATTTGGTATTTTTATCAACGCTATTGCCTAGACGAGGTTAATCAAAGCAGAATATACGAAATCAATTGAAGAATTTATGTGGATGGTTCATTCAATACTCAAGCCAGATGACGAACCTAGATGTGTTGCGAATGTTTAACCATTCCTGTCAATGAATAGTCACTAACTTATCTGTCAATTTAGCATTTTCACTTAGTTCACTTTACCTAATTTTAGCATTACTTATTCAAGATTAATGCTTTAAATGGACGTAAGATTGAATGTCGTTGATATTATGTATGCCAGTAATCATTAAAGAGCATTTTTCACAGGTATAAAGTAAACGTTCATGGTTTACACACGAACACATGAACGCTTCCAATTGCCTGTAACACAAGAAATTAGAGTAAATAACAACTATAAAAATTACTTTTGTTTTACTGAAATCAAAATTGAATAATGATGATAAAGTGGAAAGATGATATTAACATATAACCAACAGTGTTATTGTAAAATAAAACAAAAGTTTCATTATTCAATGTATTATGTCTGTTGGGATAAAGGAAGACAATAAAAGAAGGCGCACAAAAGAAAGTAACCAGTGGAATCTTGAAATTACATAATGTGAATACGAAAAGCATGAGTTTTATAAGTAATTTACAAACTTCAACTACATATTCTGTAGATCTATGGATATTTATTTATCACTGTTAAAAATACTCGATTATATGTGTGAAATGATAAATTAAACAAACATTTTCCTAAATCGAAACCCTTCAAAAAAAAGTACAACTTTTTTGAAAATCAAAACAATCCTTTACGTTTAATTCGAAATTTATCCTTGAGAAAATCACCTCGATCTGTTGTAATCTGCAGAGCCTGTGAACAGAAGAAAAACATTCAACGATATAAAAACATGAGCTGGTCTACGAAATAACATTATTTATAGTTATAAATAAAGAAACGATTAATCTGTTAGCACTGATATCTGCACCAACACCATACCACTCATTCAGTTTGATTCAAATAGTTTATCTATTTTCATACAATTACATAAATTATCTACAATTATGTAACAATGTACTCTTGAATATTCAAATTTGATTGTCTACAATTTAATCATCACATTAGATCGTATCCTGAAACGGCGACAAAAAGAATGAGACCAGAAGGCATATAAAGAAAATATAATATATGGGCTTTTAGTGAAGAGTAATAACCTAGTGAAACTGGTGTATTGCGGTAAACCGTGTGTAGTATGTAGGGACAAAGTTCGACCTGACTTAACTTTTGTGGAGTGCAATTTTTATGAAAGTAATTTTACGTACTTATTTAAGATAGTAGTAGTCTGAAACAGAACAAATCATTTTTGAACAACAACAGACAAATATAGTATTACAATGAGTAAATGGTGTATAAATCGAGTTTCTCTGTATATAATAATATGGTTAAACAAATGACAATCAATAATTATAAATAGAAATATCGATAGAAATCAATCAGTAATGAAGGTTAGATATTGCTGGACATAATACAGAATTGATATAAACTATATACATAGTTCTCATTAAGTAACAACGAGAGACATGTCGTAACTAATAATTACGAGGAAAGTTCAACTCAGTGAGTACTTCATACAGGTAAAAAAAGTTTAATCAAAATATTTGAGTCAACTTATAAGAGAATTGTAACCAACTATGTTATTGCTGATGACTAAAAATGTGCAGATTGAGATCCGGTATATTTGTTACGATGTGTTTGGCATTCACTGTGAAGACATAGATATAATATCGATATTGTTAACATTCAGCAGTTCTGAAGAAGTATCGTCTCCCCTAAAAAGTGAACGAATACCGTCAAAGATTCTGCGATTGACCTAGCCAATCAGGTCACATGATTCTTTTAAGAAATATGCTCACAGATACATGTATTATAGTTATCCCTGGAAAAGCTTTCACCCAATTACGGTTAAACGGTTAAGGGTTTGTTTGTTAACGTTCAATAAAATGTTCGTTTTACGCTATCAGGTTTATGGGTTTGCTAAGAAAAAAAGACTATTAGCGACTAGATAAAAGATGTTGAAAATCGACCATAGTTATACCAATGTTTGAACGCTTACTCTAAGTTTGCAATAGAGAGATTATTTCTAAACCTTGCTCTACGTATCTCACTCACTGTGTTCTAGTATTTTCGTTGAACTTTTTTCACTATCATTTATATTATTGTTTTCACCTCGTTATGTTACCCCTCTTGCTGTGCTAATTATGATATTTATCAACTTGAAATGATACCTACATATAGATAAACTCATTGAGGAAATCATTATGAAACTTTGAATTCAAGTTTTATTCTAAATGGGACTCGTCAGTAAGAGGTATATCTACAATCTTGATAGAATTGATGGTCTTCGTGACTTGTATAACTAACTAATTCAGTGTTATATTCACAAATGTTACCAATGAGCTATTACTGGTGTAACCAATAACTTTTAGCTGAACTCATATTTTGACACTTATTTATAATTAAATGGGGTAATACTAATATTACAATTGCCTAGTTCTAGACATATTTTTTAGCCTTAGGTTTCGATCTTTCCATCTCGAATGTTTTATAAAAAAAGAAATCAGATAATTTGAATTTGTGGAGATCGTAACTTAAATCATCATGAACTGATCTTAGCTAGACTACCATTTAAAACCAGGAAGTAATGGACAACCATTTTGTCTTAGCATGTGACTACTCTTCAGAAATGTGCATCCACAACCCTGTTGGGGACGAAGTTTCTATAATCTTTACAAATCTCCCTTAACCATTAATTAATCATATGCTCACGTGTGACTTGTAACTCCTGCGTTTCTATAGAGAAGCGTTGACCGGTGCAGACCAACCATGTTGAGTGAGAGATAGTTATCCATTACAGTGAATTGATTGAATTTAAACGTTTTAGATGGCTCAGTAGTTGAGATATTAAGCGTGCACACATGAAATCTGTCGGTCTTCAGTTAAATCCCGTTATCAAGTCGTGGATATTAACTGCTGAGGAGTTACATATTGAAACGAAACATTTGTCTGGTACTTCCTGATTTTTAGTGATGACTTAGCTAAGATCAACTTGTGATTTAACCTATGAAGGTTATTCATTTTCTTACACACAAAAACGAACAACTTTACGCGTAGACAACAAAACAAAATGGTCCTTAAAAATACTAACTGAAAACAGATCAATAAAACGAATAGCCAACAACATTGAACAGTTTAACATGGTCAATCACATTCATACAGGTGGATATCATTATTATTATTACTAAACCATTACTACTGCCACTACTAATGTGGTGTGTGCTACTTATACGAACGATATAAGTAGTATAAGAAGGGACGTGAAAGAAGAACTCTCACGGTCACAAGAGGAAAACGGAAAGCAAATGGAGCAAAAGCAAGAAGTAAATGGAGTACCGACAGGAAGTAAAGGAAGCAACAGCAGGAATGGAAGAAGGCTGGAGCGTTGGAAGTCAGGACTCTCAGATGGTGTGCAAATAGAGTGTACAATGTAATGTTTTCGTTTTTAATTGACTAAGAGTGTAAATTTGCTAAATACAATCTATCGAACCTGCCTCAGACTTCTCAATTGGTGTCGCTGCCTCTACACAGGATGAAGTTTCCATGGCCTCGGGAGTTTGAAGACGGAGATGTAAGGAGCTTCTTGAGGGAGTTCGAGGCCGTGACGGAGCTGGTCGGAGTCAAGGAGCAGAGGGCGAAGGCGCTGGTGCTGGGGACGAGAGCGGTGTACGATAGTGTGGAGGACGCTGACTGGAAGGTGGTGACGGAAAGGCTGCTGGTGGAGTTCGACAGCCCGGCGGATAGGCAGGACGCGCTGCAGAAGTTCCGAGAGGCGCGACTGTCGGTGGATGGCGACCCACTCGTGCTGGCCGTGGAGTTGACAAGATTGCTGCGCCGGGGTCTGCCGAATTTGGATGAGGAGTCGCAAGCACAGCTGCTAGCCTCGCAATTCATTGAAAGTGTGCCTGCAGAGGTTGGCCAACAGTTGAGACTGGTGAACGCGGCACAACCAGTGGACGTCACCGAGCTGGCAAAAGTAACAAGACAACTGATGAACTCAACAGTCGCCTCGGTGGCGTGTGAAAGACAGGCTGATGTCGTGAAGAAGATAGAAGAATTACAACGAGAGGTGGCAGCGTTACGAATAAAGGGTGAAAGAAGTAATAAATGCTATATTTGCGGAGGAACCGGACATTGAAAGAGGAATTGCCCAACAAAACGAAAACATTACATTGAACACTCTATTTGCACACCATCTGAGAGTCCTGACTTCCAACGCTCCAGCCTTCTTCCATTCCTGCTGTTGCTTCCTTTACTTCCTGTCGGTACTCCATTTACTTCTTGCTTTTGCTCCATTTGCTTTCCGTTTTCCTCTTGTGACCGTGAGAGTTCTTCTTTCACGTCCCTTCTTATACTACTTATATCGTTCGTATAAGTAGCACACACCACACTACTACTACTACTACTAGTAGTAGTAGTAGCAATAGAAGTTGTTGTTGTTGTTGTCAATCTTGTAAGTAGCATAATTCTTGTCGAATAATATAATCAATAATAAAAAACAAAAACACAATCACAAACAATCACAACAATTGCAGTAGTTTATCCATCCTTACACAAGTGATGAAATAATTTGCATAAATCATATTGATAATGATAATAACTAAAAACAAATAATAAAAAAAAATTATTCAAAGAAAAATAAACTGAAAAATTCTAAAAAACAAGTAACCACAACAAGAACATACATCATTAAAATGGAAAAAATTCAATGTGTATTTTTTGTTTAAAATATATGAATCACAATCCACCATATATATGCATACATGTATGTACAGTTATACTAGGCTCTTCTTCACTGTGCTACTATGTTCGATATTGTGTTATATGTATACACAAAGAAACTGATAGGTAGGTAGGCAGGTAGGTAGGTAAAGTAAACACATACATACATAGGCACACACACACACACACTAATCATGACTAATATATTTCATGAAATCCATCGGATTTTTTTCTACACATTTTGTGTTCATCGAATATTTACAAATCTACATATATATGTATATATATATATATATATATATATATATATATATATATATATATACATATTACATGTATTGAATGAATAATTTTTACTAGGACTGACCTTCTCTATACTACTGATCAATGTTAGATTGTTCTATTATGGAATGAACAAATCAACTGTTACTTTACTACTATTAAATAAGTAGTATAATGGAGAAAAAAAAGGAAATAAAATAATGGGGTATATCATACACACCCAACCACCTAATCATAGTAGTCAGTTAGTCATAATTAACGTAGAAACATCAGTTCACTAAGATGACCGTGATCATGTAAACACAACAAGATGAAATATGAACACAATTAACAAATGAATAGAATTAATTGTTATAAGCAATAAAAGTGAAAAGGATTAAACACTGGAAATATGATTTAAGATGATGAATATGAACGAAAATTGGAAGTTAGCAGGATGAATTATCCTTGAAAGACTTATTACCAGTGGGAGATTAACTGTATTTTTCGTTGACAGACCGAGACAAATTAAGTCTAACTAGTATTAATTATTAACTAGAATTTGATTAATCTCAGTATACAATCTTACTTAACTGCTTATCATAAAAAGTAGAGTTACCAATAGTACATCAACTCAATTATGAGCTATTGAAGTTATCGGTTTTTGCAAAAACTTCATTCTCATAAGATTCCAAGCAACTGGTATCGTAATCACTTTGAAATTACTTTAGCACCGTATCAAGTTGTGGTTCCGTTTTTAATCAACATTGAACCTAGGACAAAGGTGGATTAATTCAAGTCACCATAACACACATTAGCATTGACGAGATGAATCGGAAAGGATTCCAAAGAGTGTAGTAAGAATGTTACTGAAAATAACTTAACATTTACAATGTGGTACGAAAAGATAGAATGAAGAGGTATTTATCCGACATTAATGGAACTCTTGATCTACGAGACGATAACGAATTGTTAATGCATCTGCGATATGATGACGGGTAATAAGTCATACATGTGGTTATCATGTGGACTTCAACAAGGTAATCAGAATACACTAATATGGCTTCATAGATTGATGTTACGTCTCGGATTGGCCGTCTCTAGAATACTTCCAACTTACGCTTATATCAACTAACATAAACTGTCAAAGTAGGCGATATAGTGGTTAGGTAAGCTATTACAGATTTCTCCCATATTTATTTCTAGATCGAGTCCGTTGAGTAATCACATTTACTTGATAACTCGATATCAAAAGTTGTATGAAATATAATGTAACAATAAATATATGTTCCAGACAAACTGATTCAACAAACTACAAGGATAAAGTACAAAGATCATATGAAGTATGGATCGATGTACTGGTTGGTCGTTCGTTGTACTGTGTAGATTGAATTGACAGTCAATTATATGGCTAGTGGATCAATGTAGGAATCAATTATGTGGTAAGTCTATATGTCTAAAACCAAAGATTACATTTACTACTAATATAGTCATACAAAAACACAACCAGTTACACGTACATTAAAAAAAAAACGTACATGGATAAAAGTTTATAAAATTATGCATATGAATAAGTACAGAATAACTAATCAGATCATAATAACATATGTGACACGTTACATGAGTATCCTGTTTAAACTAGCATAAGCTTGAAAAAGTACATGTGAATAATATGAGGCTGTCCAGATCAGTTCAGTCAACAACAAAAAAAGATTAACAACATCATCTTTGTCTTGTTCAAATCAGTTTGTGATTGAACGCGGTCGATAAGGCATTTTAAACTAACAAGAAATCGTTGTTCAGAATGAAGTTTTTCAATTAGTACTAGTTCGTTTTTTTTTTGATGATAGAAGCAGCAATCAATCTGCTATCAAATTACACAAATCTTCAACAAAGCAACAAATCGAATAGATAAATATTTGATTTATGGTGGTGATTAAAAAGGAAGTTTCCAAACAAGTTTTATTGAGTCATTTGAAAAATGAGAAAAAAATGACAATGGCAATAAAGCCTATATTCATACAATTTCAGTGTCTGATTATAACGTTGGTTTATTGTTTTTTCAAAGATAATGAACAACATTTGACAAGAAATGAAGACAACTGGTACAAAAATTTTGTCTGCTTTCTTTACAGTAGAACTATATTCACTACAACACAATGAATAATGAATGAATGTAACTATACTTTTCTCTAGATTGAAAATCTACTTCAATGAAAATTTTATGAAAGAAAAGAGAGAAAAAGGGCGAGAGAGAGAGACAGAGAAATACAAAAACGAGTTTTAGATATTCTGGTCGTTGATATTTTGTTTTTTTTACAACAAGGAACAGTTGTTGTTTATTCGTCGCAGACTGTAAAATTCCACTTAAATAAGGCTCTAATGTCAAAATAACTGTTGATGAATTATTTTAATGACAAATGTGAATTAAATCTTTTGTTATTCGATTCAGCTAGCCCCCCCCCCTTTTTATTGCTGAATATTCTTCAGGCACTTTAATTCATTCGACTAATGCCGAAAATTAGTAAACGGCTTGGGCAAGTTAAATCGGAATGACTCACAATAAGAAAAACGTTAGTGTACTAATCACTTTACATGAGGAAATTCTACAGTCTTCTCTAAATATCCACTAGCGCACTGGTTGGCTAAGAATAAGCCAAAGAACGTGTTCAGAAACCATGCAGAACAGGGAATGGTTTGATCTGATTTTCTAGAATGTAGAATGTTAAACTATGGGATTTAAGTTTACATTCTAAGTTGTATACCATTTAGTGGAGATTAGAGTTATACATTAACACCATTGGATGCCGACTACGTAGTCCAGAGGTTGGACGTTTGCGCGCAAGACCGAAGGTTCTGGGTTCGATTCCCTCGAGTAACAGGAGTTGTGGATGTGCACTGTTAATGAGGCCTATACCAAGACGAAACAGCCGTCCAGTGCTTCCACGTTTCTAATGACCACCTAACGATGGTTGATTCACAATGTCAATGTAAAGCACTGTGGCACTTCACATACACTTTGTACTTTAACCATTGTTCAGCTTGTATACGTATGTATGCTTGGGCATTGCTTACCACCTATGCACATAGTCGTTCAGTCGTTTCAATAATTCAATGACAATATCGATTATTTTATATTTGTAATAACTTTGTCAATCATATCGATCATTATATATTTTGAATAATAAAGAAATTGTGGTAGCGACTCGCGTTTTTATAGTAGCAGTCGTCAAAACGAGCAATATACAGAATTTAGGAAGATATCGAATGTCAACCACCACAACACTATATTATACTAATTTGCTTGGAATTGAAGAAAATCACAATTGTGTTTGACTTTTCATGTATGATAATTAAAAATTATCATCAGCATTAGATTAACGAGATTTTTGTGTGTTGAACATTGATTTGATTTGACAACTTTGATAGAAACTAAGTAAAACTAGGAAATTTAAAACATTGTAACATCATGAGCAGTTATCTTCTTTCTTGCCGTCTATCGAGAGAGAGAGAGAGAGATTTTATGCAAATATTTTCTGTCTAGATTATTGTAAAAACTCCCAGGCTTTTTGACAGGCACAAAATGAATGTGTATAAGAAGAAATTGCAAAGATTTGGGATAAAAGTAGCATTAAAAAAAATGATTTCAACAATATGAACGCAACAACAAAAAAGTTAAATGTTGTTTTTTTCTTAAAACCAGACGGAAAACTTTATGCACAATATTGATTGACTGATTAGATTGGTTAATGGTTAGAATCAATGTATGATTTCAGATAATACTGTACTGATCAGTTTAACTTGCCAGATTTGGAAATAATAAGCAGAATAGGATGAAATGAAGAAAAATCGAAAAGGGAAATGAATTCTTAAAAAACTAAATAAATAAAGAGGTTACAAGAAATTAGTGAGTGTGTCAGCATATAAAATGTAATTGTTTTGAAGGTGTGTTAAAATATTTCATTTTTTCTTAACCACAAACTATGTATGTATGATATGTCAAGTAGATTTTTAGTGGTTGTTTGAATTATCACGTTGTTATTCTCTTTTTGAGTGAATTTTAATCAGTCTTAGTTGATATATGAGTATCTTGTGAGGATCGCCTCACAACACAGCCATTATGTTGCACGATTTCGTAGAAAGGATGGAATGTAACCAGCAGAAGAAATTAGTTGATGAGTCTTAAATAGAATGAAACGCACGTCCTGGAATCCATTGCTATTCACATTCTACTTATGGTGGGTGAATAGCGCTGAAGTACAATAATGTACTTTCAACCATATGGAAAATAAACTCATTTGTGGGGCTTGTTTGAATCAGCTAGTTGGTGTTAAAGACTGCATTATGTGCAGATCGTCTTAGTATCGCCATTAAGTCATAAACATATTAAGCAGAGTGAGATAGTGGCTAGTCATGGAGTCTTCGTCGTACAAGCCATCGATTATCTGGACTCAGTGGCTAGAGGGAATAACACGTTTGACGTTGAAAGCGAGATGTACTACGTTCTACTAGCTCTGGTGTAAATATCAATGCATATGGAGGTACGTCCATATGAGCAGTCCCGAAATAAGACGAAACACGCATCCTAGTTTCTATTGTTGGATATTATTTAACAATGCTCAATACATGGAAAACTTTAAAGCTTCAAACAACCTACTTCCAAAGCTTCACGATTTTCTGCTTCCCACATAGCACGTTCATCTTCAAATTCTTGTCTACGTTTTTCGAACTCGGTTAACTGTAATAATAAGTGTTTCTCTGATTGTTCAGCACGTTCCACAAGATCACGTTCTGTTTCAATTAATTTATTAGTACGTTCATGAACCTATCATAAACAAGTTTACACATAGCAAAAAGGAAAGAATAACTTTAATTAACTAGAATAAGTATGGCGGTGGAAAGTATACCTACCTATCAGCTAATTGGTTAAAAGTACATGTGTATTTAATGACAGTAAGTAATAATAACATTGAGCTTATTCACCCAGTAAATTTTAAAATTCACACCATTAATTTTGATGATCTATCAAATCCATGCATTGATGAAATGATTCGTCAATTCTATCATCTTGAAAACCTTGATGGGATGAAGTGTCTCATTCACTGTCCCCATTTATCCAATGTTCTGGTGATTTAACTTGTAATGATTTAAAACATATCGTTGTTGATATTTTGACTAATCGATCTTAGTTGGGATGTGTTTATCTTGTGCAGATTGCCTCGATATGGCTACTTTCCATAAGTTTTCATTGATTGAGGTTGGTAGTGAAATGTAACACACTCATTTGTTTAACTTGAGACGCCTCATATGTATCTACATCATAATGCAGGTAAACCCATATGAGGAGTCCTAAATAAGATGAAACCTACCCTTTAAAACTAGTGATCAGCGACTACATGATGAATTATTAAAGGGAAGTTATGGAGATTTTCGAATTTTATAGGAATTAATCATATGCTCGCTAATGATTTAATGCCATTGAACTTCTTGTGCAAATGTTACCCACCGTGAACATCGGAAGACGGTTTTGCAAGATTAAGGAAGTGTTTAATGAAAATCAGCTAGTTGGTACATACACACATATATATACTCTCTTTGATTTATTATGAAGCAGGCTACAGAAAAACACACTACTTTTTCAACCGTATTTACATGGCGTTTTTCATCAAGGTGATCGAAGTAGACTACTGGCATCTCTTGTCAATAATTCATTCATCATTGTAAGCGATATTTCAACATTTAAAACATAATGTCATCAACTACTGAAATGTAGGTTCAAAACTTGCTTCGTATACTTCAGTATAGGGAGTCACAATATTTTCTTATATATATATATATATATATATATATATATATATATATATATATATATATATATCTGATTCAATGCAGAGAATAGTAACCATAATCAGAAAGAATATAGCACAGATAAATAGAGCGAAAAAAAACCTACTTTTTGTTCAAAAACATTTTCCATTTCAGATTCTAATTTAGCCAATTTACGTTGGTGAGCTAAACGCTCCGTTTCTAATTGACTTAAAGGTTCACGACTATCTTCAGTGGCTAAAAATTTACTTGCTTCAGCAATACTTGTTAAACGTGATGAAAAATAATTGGTATAGTGTACATGATGTGTCACATCAATTAGATCCTATAAAAGTAGTTTGAACAAAAAAAGACAATGAAAAATGTAAATAACATGATAATTGAAGCTTAGTGAAAATCGGTTTGATGCATAAATGTTTGTTTACGTGAAGTGGCAATAGTTAAGTGCACTCTGCAGGATCTGAAAGACGGGTTAGACTCCTGGTGATGTGCTGAATGTACAATGTCAAAAGGTACTTTATTAAGATGAAAATAGTCTCCTTAGTTTTCAATGGTACTACTCTAATTTCTTCTTTCAAATAGCAGATTAGGCTTATAAATAAAAATAGTGTATAATGAATAGCTGAATCAGACAACCCCATCTAACATAACAAATCGATGTCATTCTGTGATAAAAACCGCATGCAAATAAAATTAGTTGAGGAGAAATACATTTCATTTTTTATTAGAATTTACAAGTATTCAATACCAAAATAGCTTTGGATAGAATTTACTTAATGCATAACCTTATGAATTAAAATGATGAAAGAGGTTATTTAAGTAGTAATTGCTTAAGTAAGATGAGTTTTTATTTTATGCATGTGTACAAAAAATAGTTAATTGCATTACAATACATGTTTGCCTTACATATTGCTTATTTTTTCCAAATTTCTTTAAAAAAAAACCTAAGATATGAATTATAAATTGCAAGGAAGGGATATATATATATATATATATTAGTCTAAGATGCATGCACAATCAGGAAAAATAAACTTCTCCTTTAAATAAAATTGGATTGGAATCCTTTAATGGAGTGATTGTTCAGCAAAAAGACGTTCCTCAACTCCCCCCACCCCTTTCTTTCATCTTGTAGTATTTATCTCTTGCATAATCTCATTGATATGCACATACTTACTTCTTATCACGTCGACTGGTTATGCAATCAATGAACAATGTGATAACCCTTACGTAAGCTCTTTTATCTTGATGATGATGATGATGATTTCAGTTAGGCTCAGAACATGTAAGTAAACTTCACAAACTAATATATCAGTCAGTCAGTTGCAACGTAGAACTTCATACGTATGTACATAAGTTCATGTTGCCATACCACATTAGCACAGAGACGCAAATGTCAAATCAAATCCCATAGTGATAAAAATAGTAGAGGTATTAATGGTAATGAAGAAGACTAGGGTTCGAAGATATTATTCAAGAAATATAATTCAGTGAGATAAGGTTAGAAAGACAAAGGTAAAGGTGCTGACCAATCCAGAAGATTAGGATTTGAGAGAGCTCAAAGAATGGATGCACTTGCGCCATTGCAAACGATTTTGAGCCATGTCGTTCAAGGTCACAAACTAATATATGTTAAATATTGTTTTTATAATAGTATTAAGAATGGTTATTTTAGGCTAATATGGAGCTGATCATAAACTATGAAATAAAACAGCAAATTCAATTTATTCTGCAACTCTATTTGAATTTATCAAGTAATCTGATTGCATGAAAAGCTAGATAATCACTTGAATTAGGGACGAAAAAGAGAGAAGAACAAATTCAATAGTACGTAGTTCAAAAGAATACTAAAAACTAAACATTTCAGTACATCTGGAAGTAGAAGTTTTGTAAGGTTCATAATATACTTTTACATTTTTACTCTAAAAGTACAAAGTGTTTTAATTGTATTGGTCTGTATATGTATTAACATGTAACATAGAACTTGATACTTATGTACATCAGTTCAAGTTGCCGTATCCAGTAAGCACAAAGAAGATGAAAACGTCAAGCCAAACCCCACAGTAGAAGAGGTAGTGACAGTATCAGTAAGAATAGGAAAAACTAGGCAACGAAGAACATATAATTTGGTGACATGAAAAATTTGGAGGCTTAAAATCTACAGGAAAGTAAAGAATGGATACACCTGAGCCATTGTTAACGATTTTGAACCATTTCATTTCAAGTCTCTAACAACTGGTACCGATATTCACATGGACCCAAACTAGGTAGTTTGTATCAGTTAACATAACTCAGTACGACTCAATGATTTCATGGACTTGAGTTATATACTAGTTTGGCCGTCTATAGCTTTCACCCAGCCTACTTCTACACTAGACAGTATAACCCGCCGAGGTAGTCGGTGGTTTGACATAAGTAAAACGTGTCCCATCCACCTCGACTGACCAAGATTTTCTACTTAATTCAATTGATTTGCCATTCTAATCGAGTACACTATTGCTAACCCCAGTATTGCTTACTAGGTGGTCCCAGAATAAACAAGCTACGAAGACATCTATGATCGACTACTAGAAACTTACGAAAATCCGCTATTCCTAAGGGGCATGTCTCAATTCCATAATATATTAATAACGAAGCGAACTGCTGTGTAAAAAACCCGTCCTATGATTGGCAGACGGATGTCTAACCCACGCCACAAGGTTTCGTCAGACACCACCCCATCAGGATTGACGAGACTCCCAAGATAATGTGAAGTGGTTGACGGGCTCAACTACTTGATTCTATCACTAATTCAAGAGTCGATGCAAGCCAATCTTAAAGCAACATTTTGCATTTGGAGGGAAATAGTAGAATCCCAAACATGTTTGCATTGTTATGTAAGGTAATCATAAGACATTGAATTTTATTAGCATCTTCACTAAACAGTTGGGTATTCTAAGTCAACAAGTAAATCTCCTGGTAGAAGGTCAACCGCTGAGTAGTCAGACAAGGAAAATGTTAGTTCCAAAAGCATGTTTATGATAAAGTTAATTATAAGCGGGGGAGGCCGACAAACATGACAGACACCTCTTGAAGTAATCAATTCCGATGACAGTTTTTCGTAAGCTCTGACTCGACCAGTGTTCGGTTAGAGAGCCTGTGCAAGGTTAATGTAACTGTCTTCAATCAGAGATGCAAACCATTAGATCCAAACTCAGTGAGTTGAAGGTGTAGCATATACAGAAACACTACACATTTAAATCATTCATCCCAGCTTTTGAACAGACCTTAATAGCTCAGTATGTGACTATTGAGTCACTTTTACAATCCTAATAACTTTATTCTTTTCTTTAAGACTTATAATTCTAAGCTAATACGTCTCATGTATGCTAATGTGTTGCCTATGCACTTATTATTTCATCCAATACCTGTATCATTGTCACATAATGGAATATGTATATTTAGAGTAATATCAACTCTTGCACCGAGTAATATTTTGAGCAGTCAAAGAAACTCTTCTCTGTTTCAATTTTCACCATTTATCTGCATAAGTGAATGTCTGAAGTAAACTCTTCCAATTCCAATTGTATTTGACTTTTATTGATATTGTTATCCACCGGGGTTAGCCTAAGGATCGTATTCGGAACTAAACGGAAGGTTTATATGTTATGGTTCATTCATGGAGTTCATTAAGAAATCAGATCTCATGCACTAAAAAGGTCCTTGGTTCGATATCTGATGGCGTCTTTGATGAGCACTAATAAAGAGCTCCCAGTCAGGACGAAACACATATCTTGTGCTTTTTGGTTTCAGGAGTTGTCTAACCGAAATCGATCCGTAGTGTGGAAATGCAAACTCAACAATCTTCAAAATACCATTTAAAAATGTATGTCTATACATGACCAAATCTAATAAAAATCTCAGTATTGGTCTAAATAATAATCGATAAGAAAGAAGTCAGATTAACTAAC